AGTGTGGTCAATAAAACTAATAGTATCTGGGCTGGGCTTAGTGTTAGGGTGCTTGGCTATGTGCTTTCATAGGCTCAGTTTCCAACTCTGAAAACAAAACTAAATACAAAATCCCCACCAACCCCTAGAATTATGAGATAGAGTAAAATATAATTATATTTTGCAGATGAGGAAATGAGAGTTTAGGAAAACTCATTCAAGGTCACAGTGATACTATGTGATCATATGTGAAAGCATAACTTTCTTTTTTAAAAATAATTTATTTGTTTTTCTTTTTATGCACTGGTGTTTTGCCTGCATGTATGTATGTGTGAGGCTGTCAGGTCCCCTAAAACTTGAGTTTCAGATAGTTGTGAGCTGCCATGTGGGCTGGGAATTGAACCCAGGTCCTCTGGAAGAGCAGCTAGTGCTTTTAACTCATGAGCCATCTCACTACCCCCCAAAGCATAATTTACTAACATAGATCCTTAAACATATATAGAGTAAACACGTCACATGTATTCAGTTCATTAATGAGAACCAGTATAATGAAACTGTTTCAGAAAGCAACAGAGATTATATAGATAGGTAGAAAGCAATGTAAAATGAGATGCGTGGGTGAGATCTCTAGGCTTTTAGGTTATTTTTTTGCACGGGACAGACTTCTGTTACACTTTTGCTAGACAAAAACTTAGAAGCCAACATGTACTATCATAGACTACGAGTTATTAAGTTGTGAGGGAATGGTCCAAGTGTATTCCATGATGCAATAATGCTTATGTGAGGTTGCTCTCATGTGACACTGAAAGGTCCTTCCCTACTCTGTCTTTCCAGTTTCGCATTGTTTTCTTGACACTACCCAGTGTCAGAGCCTGGTTCCTTTCACTCTACCTCCTGCTCCTTCACTCTGAAATCCTCAGCACCCGATCAGGCGTGGGCGGCATCGGCTACTCTTCCTTGGTGCAGAGTGATGTTCATTCAGTTTCCTTTTTCAGAATCACCCTGAACTTATTGGCCCTACTAAAATTTTCATAAAGATCCATAGTGAGAAATTGAAATTATAATACATATGTAACTACTTTTCCCTAACATTTTGTTATCAGATTTCAGAGTGATAAAATGAGTATTTGCATATTTGACCAAAATAAAATCGAACTATCTTAGGTAATTATTGAAACAATTTCCACAATAAGCAGTATAACTGCCTAACGGTTAATTGTTTAATAATTATATATTAGTTATTAATGTTATTTAATAACAATGTTATCTTATACTGGGAATGAACAGTTTCTCCCTTTTTTGATACTATTAAAAAAATTGGGATATGTTGTTTAGTTTAGCCCTCAAGCAATTAGGCAAGGCAATTACCATGTTAATAGAAGGTATTCATTTCCTTACCTTAGCTTAAGGTTTTAGGAACAAAGAACTCTCTCAGCTCATCCACTGAAACCCAACTTTCTCCTGAGACTGGCATTAAGTGTCTGTTCTCTAGAAGATGGCTCAATTCTAAATGGAGAAAACTTGCCCTTGAGCTCTTTGTGGTGGAGTGGGTTAAATATAGCTTAAAATTAAAGTAATTAAAAAGGTACCCCTTCTTAATAGTTTGGAATGTGATCTTCACTTTTATTTTACATTTTAAATTGAGATTTTCATAATGCATATAATGCGTTTTGATCAAATCTACCCTCCATTCTCCCTCCAAATCCTACCCTTCCCATTTCCCTCCCAATTTCATGTGCTCTTTTTTCTTTTTCTCCTTTCTTTCTTCATTCCTTCCTTTCCTTACTTGTTTTTCTTTGATTCTTCCTTTGTCTTTGTTTCTTTCTCTTCCTTCCTTCTTTCCTCCCCCCCATCCACTTCCTCTCTCGCTTTCCTTCTTCCACACTGAATTTCTTTAAGCCCATACGTGCATGGGTTTAGGACCACCTAAGATATTTAGGACCACCGCCTGTCAGGGACTGCATTCCTGAAGAGAACGTATTCTTCTCCCAGCAGCCATCAATTGCCAATAGCTTTTCAGCTATGGGCGGGACTTCTCAAGCCCCTCCCTACTCATTCTGGGATTTTACTGGCTTGACATTTTGCAGGTCTTGGACATGTAGTCACAGTCTCTGTGAGTTCAAACATTCAATGACCCTGTCAGCAATCTTTCTGCCCCCTCTTCTACAATGATCCCTGAGCCTTGGCATGGGGGTGTGATATAGATGTCACATTTAGAGCTGGCCTGTTTTTGTTTGTTCTGAATTAAATTTGAAATCTTATTGGTATGATTTCTGTTGACTAAACTAAAATTGATACCAAACAACTTCTCTTAACCATCTCATTGCTGTCAGATAGAATTACTTACGGTGTATTTTTTAACACATAATTTATAATTTTGACAGGTAATTTATTAATGTTTATGTGCTAGTTCTACCATTCCTAAACAGAAAGTCTACTAAGTTAGCTATCATGAGGCACATTTTGCAACTAATTTATAAAAAAATCTGGTCATGGTCGTACATACTTATAATCCTACCACCCAGGAAGATAAGACATGAGGATTGTGGGTTCGAGGTCAGTCTCAGGAAACTGTCTCAAAACAAAACACAGACTAACTAACATGAAACAAGGCACATAAAAAGCAGGCTTTTTACCAGAGGTTATATTATATATTTTATTAATTCATCCTGGAGATTAAAAACAACAATAAAATATATTATTAAAAATGCCAGCACTAGGGCACTGGAGAGATCATGGTTAAGAGCACTGTTTCTAATACCACCTGGTGGCTCCCAACTCCCTGAACAGGGAAATCTGAGACTAGAAACAATAGGAAGAATAAAGGTTTTACATGAAGGTCCGTCTAAAAACACACAAGCACTATGCTGCCTATACAGAGAAGCTCCTGACTATTCAAACTTGCATTTAGTCTTGAATTCCACATTGTGCTGTCATAGAGACTGTAAGCCCAATGGAATTCAGACTTGCAGTACTTTCTTTTTAGTTTAAGTTCAGGTTAAAAAATGCTATTAATACTTGGTGGGTAAAGGAGATTGCTGTATGGCCCTGAAAACCTGATTTGATCCCCAGAATCTGTATAAAAGTAGAAGTAGAAGGAGAGAACCGACTCCACAAAGCATAAAGTTGTTCTCTGATGTCCACACATGGCCATGGTTGGAGCTTGCTGGCACTCACATGTATACCCCGCCCTTCCCCCTCCCTCCTTTCTCTCTCTCTCTCTCTCTCTCTCTCTCTCTCTCTCTCTCTCTCTCTCTCTCTCTCTCTCTCTCTCTCACACACACACACACAGACACACATATGAAATCAGTTATTTCATTACTAAAGTGTTCATGAACCAAAATAAGTTTTTAAGCTAAAAGGAGCATTTTTAATTATTATGTGTGTTCTCATTTTGAAGATTTGTTGTAATATAATTACATTAAATGTACTTAAATTGGCCGGGCGGTGGTGGCGCATGCCTTTAATCCCAGCACTCGGGAGGCAGAGGCAGGCGGATCTCTGTGAGTTGGAGGCTGGGCTGGACCGACAGCCTCCAAAACAATACAGAGAAACCCTGTCTTGTAAAACCAAAAAAAAAATGTACTTAAATTAACATGGAGTGATCACTTGGAAGATGTATTGATAGCTGAAAAAGTAGAAGTAGTTTAAAACACTGTTCATTTAATGCTCTCTGACTCTCAAAGAATAGCAGTACTAATTGAGCAGAGATAGTATCTGAGAAAAGCTTTAGTACTATTTCAAAATATTATATATAAAATGTGAATAGAACAGGACAAACATCTGTAATGTGACACCGACTTTTGATTTCTGTCAGGGGTTTTGAAATTTTGGCAAATAGGAACTTACCTACTAACAGTTATAAAATGCTTTTAGTTTATAAAGTATGTATTTCTACATGAGTTTGTTTTATTACATTAAAGTGGGCAGGTAGGGAATGGTGTAGATCTGTGAAGAGTTGGGGAAGGGTAGTGACTGTAATCAAAATACTTCATATGTAATCCTCAAAGAACTAATAAAAGGAAGGAAAATTCTCTTTGTGTTACTTAATAGTGCTAAGTATCATAGGCTGCCCTCAATTCTTAAATGGGTTCTGTGATTATATAACATTAACATGATGTTTCATCAGGATAAACCACCAATATATTTAAAACTCCACCCCCACAAAACATTCAGATAACAGGGACTTAACCCAAGGTTTGGGGAATTTATTACTTGAGTTTAGTATAATCAAGTAGGAGCATGGATTCATTTTATTACTAAAATAATATGTTAGAAATCTTCATACTTGAAGTCTGGATTATATTCTAGAGAGTCCTCAAAACTAGTAACAGATTAAGATAAAGATTCTCTCTCTCTTTTTTTTTTTTTTGGTTTTTCGAGACAGGGTTTCTCTGTATTGTTTTGGAGGCTGTCGGTCCAGCCCGGCCTCGAACTCACTGAGATCCGCCTGCCTCTGCCTCCCGAGTGCTGGGATTAAAGGCGTGCGCCACCAATGCCCGGCCAAGAACCTTTTTAGGAAACTTCCTCAATTCCTCAGCAAAGCACAGAGTGAAAGTCCTTTGTACAGAAGAGCTGTTTTGTCTTCAAAACTGGACCTTCAAGTAGGTCTGTGAGTAAATCTAACAGTTGTGCTTGGTCAACTTAGACTTTAGGAGAGATGGTAATTATGCAGAAAATCAAAGATGCTGAAAAAATTTAGAACGTCAAGGATTCTCATCAGCATTGAGATAAGTTATTCTTTTGAAGGAACAAAGATGTTGCATAGTAGAATTTTGAAACTGCTCCAACCGTAGAACTCAGTTTAAATGGCCAATTTGTTTTCAAGCTAATAAACTTGAATTACTACATTTGTTTCTTTGTAATTCAACTTCTGTTCTTGAGGCTAGGTGTTATATCTTACACTAGATAAGTGTGTTTGTTTCATTTTTCAATCCTATATGTGGGGGCTGTTTTTGAGGTTTTTGTCAAACATCTGTCACATTTATTCATAGATATTGTTTGTTGAAATTCATAACTAGGGCATTTGAAAGATGAATGGAAATGAAATGGAAGGCACTTCACTGCAGAGGAAATTTCCTGATTGGATGTCTGTGCCGAGTGAAAGACGTGCTACAGAGGAAAAGGTAATTGTTCATTGATTATTGTTCCCTTGGGAACTCTAGTTTGACTGACTGTGCAGCAGGTCACCCCATTGCTTTTAAACTTCAGGTCATTGTTTAGGAGGAAACTTCCTGTTACAGTGTGAATGAATCAGGACCAAGTTGTTGGAAGGTAAATAGGACTCAATTGTAAGTAAGTTTTATAAATGAGGATCCTTTGTGTATATTTTCTCTTTCTTTTTCCTTTTTTGGTTTCCTTTTGTTTTTTTGAGACAGGGTTTCTCTGTGGCTTTGGAGGCTGTCCTGGAACTAGCTCTTGTAGACCAGGCTGGCCTTGAACTCACAGAGATCCAACTGCCTCTGCCTCCCAAGGGCTGGGATTAAAAGCGTGCGCCACCAACGCCAGGCTATTTTCTCTTTCTATATCTAGCTTTCATGGTTGATGTTATTGGTTTGTTCCAATTCATATAATTATTTAGACAACATCAATGTTGGTGAATTTTTGTTTAAAATATTTCAAGTCCTTGGACACTTAAGATCTGTTTTTTTGCCACCAGCCTCTTAAGGCTGCATTATTGCACCTAGGATATTAATATAATTATCAGGAAAAAAACAAGTGAATTAAAGGACTCTATGAAAATAAGATTAGAAGTTTCAAAATAGAATGGTATGGAAAAGTAATCTTCCAGCTTTACCTTTGTTAAACTGAGCTATAGCTTCTTAGTCTGCAATGTAGAACAGTGCTATAAATGTCTTCAATGGACTTTATTATTTCAGTGAAGATCTATTATCTCCTGTGATATTGATTTGTGCCTGTTTTGAATTGTGCTTAAGGCATGCATTCAGAAGAGTGTGCTCGAAGATGATCTTCCATTCTTAGAGTTCACTGGGTCCATCGTTTACAGTTATGAAGCTAGTGATTGCTCTTTCCTATCTGAAGATATCAGGTAAGGGATTGGAAGTTCTTGTCATTAAATTTAGACCCTCTAAAGGTACTTGTAAGAAATAACAGGTGAAATTTCAGAAGTATTTTTGTGTATACAATATCTAAGTTGCATTCTACTTTTTAAATACAAAATAAACTCTTTAAATTAATAAGATGCCTATTTGTTAATTATTAATCTTTTCTACTTCATTAGATAAGTTTTGTTTCTTCTAGTGCTTAAGATATAATGTACATGTAAAATATTGAACACTTTATCAATTTAGGGAAAATAAAATTATTTTACCTCTAACTGTATTTTTATATCTTGCTAAAACATCAACATATCAAGTAATGGTTATGGTTTTCAGTTTTATTTAAATTTTATTTTTATTTTAACTTTTAAAAATGTGTTAGGATGCCTGGTCTGATGGATGTTTGTATACAACATGTGTGCAGTGTCCACTGAGGTCCTTGAAGTAGAATTACAGGCAATTGTGACCTGCCATTTGGCACTGGGAATCAAACCTATATCCTCTAGAAGACCAGCCAGTGCTCCTAACTGCTGAGCCATCTCTCAAGCCATTTTGTTTAGTTAGTGATAGTTACTCCAAATGGTCCATAAACAGAGCACTAGAAATGACTGTTAGTACTTTTTTTTTCTATTGGTTTTTTTTTTTTTTTTTTTTTTTTGAGACAGGGATTTTCTGTGTAGCTTTGGAGCCTGTCCTGGAACTGTTTCTTTAGACCAAGCTGGCCTCACAGAGATCCACCTGTCTCTGCCTCCTGAGTGCTGGGATTAAAGACGTATGCCACCACTGCCCAGCCCTACTAACTCTTAACATTCTTTCTTTCTCCTGGTTTGTAAAGATCCCTGAGTCCTGTGGGGAGGGATTTGATGGAGACATGTTTTTTAGTGTTTCAAGGTCTCTCTTTCTCTGCAGACTGTCAAGTTGTAGGTCTCTGTATTTGTTCCCATGTACCACAGGAGGCAGCTTCTGACTGAGCAAGAAAGACACTGAACTCCTAAGTGTGTATTTTCTTTATGTTGTAACAATTAAAGCTTGCCTTAAGGTCAGAGTGCAGAACTAAGCCACTAGCTAGCCATAGAGGCCAGGCAGTGGTGGCACACACCTTTAATTCCAGCACTAGGGAGACAGAGGCAGTCAGAGCTCTGTGAGTTCAAGGCCACCCTGGTCTGCACGAGATTGAATCTGTCTAAAAGAGAAACAGCTCACACAAAGGTGATCCCAGGATTCTTAGAGACAGATACAGTCTGAGGATGAGTAGGGACAGGATCACCCCTTTGGTCTGAGCATTGGGAGAGGAAAGGACTCTAGTGACTGGCTTTTCTGCTCCTCTGATCCTTTACTTTTCACCCCCTGATAGCTGACCCCTGAGTTTATTATTATTACTAAGAACAATTAGAATTCTTGCTTCATATGAATATAGCAGAAGGTAGTTTAAAAAGAAATCTTCCAATTTGGTACTCATTTTGTATATGCTTTATTTTAAGTTCCTGAGCATATTTATAATATATAATAGGTTTATTTGTTCTTGTATTGTTCTGCACGGGGTTTTAGGTAGCCTAGGCTGGCCTTGAACTTACTTTGTAGCTGAGGGTGACCTTAGTTCCTGGTGCTTTTGAGCCTCCCCTACCCCACCCCCCTAGTGCTGGGATCATTGGTGTGTGCCACCAGGCCCAGTTGTGTTATTATAGCTCCCCCACCGACCTCCACACGGATTATGTTTGATTCGTGTCAGGAGTCTCGTGATTTAACTGAAGTGACCACCCTCCCCTGCCCGTTTTAGCAGCCATGACAGGCTAACATGTGCTTGCATGACCTTGCTGCTTCTGTCCTGGTTACTGGGAAGTCAGACAAGGAACCAATCAGAAGTTAGCTGGTGGGACTGTGCTTTACAACTCTGGGTGTGCTTTACGGACAAGTGTACAACAGTGACGTGCAGAGCATAGCAACCTCCCTGGGAGGGTCTACGGGCCATAACAACCAGTTGACCAATCAACATAGGGCAGGTCATCCAAGCCTGGAAGTGCATACCCCTAGACACTACCCTTACGCTGCCCTTTAAGAACCCCCCCTTTGTGGTTTCTAGGGGTCTTTCTCTGGCCGTCCGACACGGTGGATGGATGAGAGGCCTAAGCTAATGGGGTTAGCTCATTAAACAACTACAATAAAAGACACTTTGCTTTTTCATCGAAATGACCTCTTGGTGATTTTGGGGTTCAGAATTTGGGCACAATATTACCATGTTATTATTATTATTATTATTATTATTATTATTATTATTTGTAGTTTGCTTTCTAAGAAAAGAGGTTTGTCAGCTGCGTTACTTGGAGACCAGTTTAGTATTTTGACGCTTGTTTTTAGGTGTTCTTAGGGTAGGCCTGTAATTGCTTTTCTTCAGAAGGTAATTGGCTGATGGTTCCTGGAGTTCAACAAGAATGTCAGAATTTAGGGTCTCTTACCTCTGTCTATGTGATGCCTGAGAACTGTGCAGTTTTTAGTTCCCCCATTCTTTGCCTGGCTTCTCGGGATTCCTAGAGTCTCCATGGAGACTTGTGACTGCCTCAAGGATCCCAGCTGTCTGTTCCCAATTCAGTGCTGTCCTTGCTGTTTCTCTGCTGTTGTATGGAAGGCAGTCTAGGAGAACCAGGGACAACTGCAGAGATTACCATCTTATACTGAGAACAGTAAATTCAGATATTTTTGCATAATTTCTTGTTTACTTTTAGTGGAAGGATGATTAATTCCTATAAATTCCATCTTGGCCTAAAGTTGTAGTTGATAATTCTATTATATTTTAAATTAAAAATTGTGAAGTAGGCATGTAAACAATAATAAACAAAATAGCCACATCCTCTTACCTAGTTATGTCAAATCTTTATTATTTATTTGTGCATGTGTGTGAGATTCATATGTAGGTGCATATTTAGTCAGAGGAGTTATATCAAGTCTTTATTATTTGTGTGTGTGGGGACTCATATGTAGATGTGTGAGGAGGGACTTTTGTGTAGTTTGGGGAGACTCCTGTGTAGGTGTTGGGGACTCCTGTGTAGGTGTTGGGGACTCCTGTGTAGGTGTTGGGGGGACTCCTGTGTAGGTTTTGGGGGACTCCTGTGTAGGTGTTGGGGGACTCCTGTGTAGGTGTTGGGGGACTCCTGTGTAGGTGTTGGGGGACTCCTGTGTAGGTGTTGGGGGGGCTCCTGTGTAGGTGTTGGGGGGGCTCCTGTGGAGGTGTTGGGGGACTCCTGTGTAGGTGTTGGGGGGGCTCCTGTGGAGGTGTTGGAGGGATTCCTGTGGAGGTGCACAGTTCTTCAGAGGACAGCTTTCAGGAGCAGGTTCTCTCTTTCCACAATGTGTGTCCAAAAATTAAAATAAATTGAAAAAAAGCGCTCTCACATCCTTTGTAATTTATCTTCCTCCCACCTCTGTGCTGCTCTGACATGTCATGAGTTTAGTATTTAGTATTCCTTTATATTGTCTTATTTGCCAAATTAAAATTGTATGTTTCCTGAAACTTGTCTTTTTCACTCATCTGTAAGTTTTTGAGATTCTTTTCGTGATTGACGATTGGTGTGGGAGGGACCAGCCCACTTTGGTCAGTATCCTAAACTTGGGCAATTGATTCTTCCTTGTATAAGAAAGCAAACTGAGTAAGCCAGGAGGATCAAGCCAATTAGCAATGTTCCTCTATGGTCTCTGCTTCAGCTTTTGCATCTAGGTCTTGAGTTCCTGCCCTCAGTTCCCTTCATGATGGACCGTGACATGTAAGCTTAAATAAACCCTTTGTTTCCCAAGTTGCTTTTGGACGTGATGTTTATCACAGCAAACTAAGATATTTGCTGACTGAGCCATTGCACATGTTGTGATGGTTGAATAAGAATGGCCCCCAAATGCTCACATATTTGACTGGTTAGTCACTAGGCAGTGGAACTCTTTGATAGGATCGGCGGAATTAGGAGGTGTGGTATTGTTGGTATATTTGACTGCTTAGTCATTAGGCAGTGGAACTCTGATAGGATCGGAGGGATTAGGAGGTGTGGTACTGTTGGCGGAAGTGTGTCCCTGGGGTGGGCTCTGAGCTTTCAAAAGCTCACAGACTCTCGTCCTCTCAACCTGCTGGTCAGGGTGCAGCTCTCAGCTGCTGCCCCAGTGCCGGGCTCCCCGCCATGATAAGGACCTGAACCTCTGAACTGTAAGCCAGCCCCAGTTAAAGGCTTTCCTCTGTAAGAGTTACCATGGTCATGGAGTCTCTTCACAGACATAGAACAGCAACTGAGACAGAAGTCTTCTTAAAGACTTCAAGAAGACCTCTTAATATTTTCTGGTGGCTTACTAAAAGTTGTATGTGTCACAGATATGCGCTCTAGTCATTGGTTTGTCCTTTGATTAGTGAAACATGCTATTAGCTATGGAAAAGTAAAACAGAACAAAACAAAAAACAAACAAAACAACCCTTCTCCAAAACCAACATGTAATTAACCACACAAATTTTCCTTTGATAGCATGCGTCTACCTGTTGGAGCTGTGATAGGATTTGACATGGAATGGCCACCCATATACAAACATGGGAAACGAAACAGAGTTGCAGTGATTCAGCTGTGTACATCTGAGAGCAAATGTTACTTGTTTCACATTTCTTCTATGTCAGGTTAGTATCTCTGTTTCATTTGTATGGCCGACAGTAATAATTTATCAACCTTCTTCCTGTAAAATTAAGTTCTTTAACTAATGGACCTTCTCTCGTGATCTTATATTTACTTAAGTATTTACATTTTTACCTGATCTTTAATACATTTTTCTTGTGTTAGAAACTAGAGAACTGAAGTTTAGAGGTCTAAATGACTAGGAACAATATACTATTACTGTTGGTAGAGATGACATTCAAATTCATTTTTTCTAGTCAATTTCTAGTCAGGATTCTTTGCATTAGATAAAAAAAGAAACAGTTCAGGTGAATGTGATTCTAAAATTAAGCTTATATAAACATCAGTTTAACATACATGTAATATGCATAAGAACAGTAAGTCCAATATACTTAACAGTGTTACGGGAATAATCATTGAATGTTATAGTTTTTCCCCAGGGATTAAAAATGCTACTAGAAAATAAATCAATTAAGAAGGCAGGTGTTGGAATCGAAGGAGACCAGTGGAAACTTCTACGTGATTTTGACATCAAATTGGAGAGTTTTGTGGAGTTGACAGATATTGCCAATGAAAAGGTAGAAGTAATATAAGTATTGTTTTAATAAACATGGTAACCTATGTTTCACAGAATGTGCATTTTTTTTTTTTGGTTTTTCGAGACATGATTTCTCTGTATTTCTTTGGAGCCTGTCCTGACACTCACGTTGTAGACCAGGCTAGCCTCGAACTCACAGAGATCCGCCTGCCTCTGCCTCCAGAGTGCTGGGATTAAAGGCATGCGCCACCACTGACCGGCTTGAATGTGCATTTTTAAATATAAACGTTCCCCCCCAATAAAAACCCCATAATGTAAGCTGTGTGCTGATTCTGGTGACAATACAGAAATTCAAAGCACAATAATGAAAATAATGTCCGTGTACACCATTGCCTAAACCAATGTTCCTACATCTTTACTGCAGCTCTCACTTATCACATGCATTTACACACCTGGAATTTGTATTTCAAAGACATCTATTCTGTATTACAAAGCATTCCTTTTGTAAAATGACCACAGTGCAGCTCTTGATAGAGAGGTTTCAAATGTCATTTTGACTTTTCACACCATCGCCTATATTTCTAATATTAATAAATGAAACAATTAAGTTCTTATACGTAGCCAAGTATTCATTTGGCCAGGAAGTCAAAAGACTTCTAACTCATTCAACTGCTTTCTAGGAATGACATCTTTAAAGTTTAAGCATTTTAATCCCCACATTAGGGAATCTCAGAGGTAAATTCATGATATAAACTATAAATGACGTTTTAGTGATGGTTAGTTTCTTTATTTTGGTATTTTTCTAGTTTTATTTGTTAGGATAAATGACAGTAATGGAGCATGACTGCTATATTGCCTTTTCCCTATTTCCAGCTGAAATGTGCAGAGACTTGGAGCCTCAATGGTTTGGTGAAACACATCTTAGGAAAACAACTTTTGAAGGACAAGTCTATCCGCTGTAGCAACTGGAGTAATTTCCCCCTCACTGATGACCAGAAACTGTACGCAGCTACTGATGCTTATGTATGTATTTAAAGACCTTTAATTATGATGCCATTTTTATTCCTTGTACTGAAGTGCTTTAGAGAAATTTTACTGTGAATTTTATTTTAGTTTGGCATCAAAAATTGCTTAGGAATACATCAAATGAAATTCTCCATGTTAATTAGAAAGTACCAATTAGTAGATTGTGTAGCGGTGGTTATGTTCACTGTCATGAAGCCATGGTGATGTCCAATTTCTGTGTAAAAGAATGGAACTAACTGAAGTCATGAAAGATTAGGCTTAGCAGGCACAAATGGTTTGATGATGTATTTTGTCTATAAGCAATTCTGAATAAGAAAAATCGCAGGCTTTCTGTATTTAAGTTAGCCTTATTTCATATATTTATATTTAAAATGAAGAAATTTAGAAAATTGCCTCCAAATTTAGTTGCTGCTGTTCTTTGATATATTTTCATATTTTAATCTGTACATCCTGGAATCTAGGATTGTCTTGGAAATCATTCTTGTAGATTTTGCTAAAGAGATGACACATTTATTTTGGTTATCTTTAATGTGTGCTTTATTTTTCTGTTGCCTTTTTATAGGCTGGTATTGCGATCTATGAAAAATTAGCAAATTTGGGAGATACTATGCAAGTGTTTGCTCTAAATAAAGGTACGTTATGGCCTAAGATAAAATGTGAGTTTGCTATTTTGTGAGATTTGTTTCAAAAAGTCAGTGTGTCTTTGCAAAGTATTGTGCTGCTACTTAAATGTCTGAACAGGGTTACCGTGATGGTGAAATACATCAGGATTAAGGACTGGGTTTTAGATACTTTCCCTGTGGGAGAGCAGGGCTTAAACCTTCCTTTTGTACAAAGTGTTGCTACTGTTCAGTCCCATAGACTTGATACTGTCTTTGATGACATCAGTGAGCCAACCAGCTTCCTCTAGACGTTCTTCCTACAAAAGCTTAAAGTGTCTTAAACATATTACTTCAATGGATATGAGATGTGCTGGAGTATTCTGGTTTAAGTTGCTGCTTTCTTCATTCAGTTTCATTGTCCTTGTCAGATGTTTTGATAGGGTAATGATTGCAGAAGGAGTCAAGCAGTAGGGAGGATGAGCATTAGCTTTTGTGCTCCAGAGGCCAGTGGTGGAATCTGTGCTTGTAAAATGGGTAAGAGTGAAATATCTATCTCATGGATTAGTTGTGTGCACTAAAGGGGCAAAATATGCAAAGCACCTTTGTCGATGGCAAGACAGAATTGTTAAAAAGATTGAGCATATCTGATACGTACTCTGAAATGCTTTGAAATTGGAAACTTGCTTACATATTCATTGGTATTTGAGGGCATCATATATTGTAAATCTGGCTTCATGTTTTAATACTAAAACAAACACACAAATAAACAAACCCCCAATGATGGCCATTGTGGAACCCTTAGCTTATGGGGTGTAGAGCAACAGAATAAAATGATTCAGATTTTATCTTAAAATGTTCTTTTCTCACTGCTGTAAAAGGACCAGGAAGTTAGACAGGGAATTAGGAAGGTATTTTAATTGTCTAGGAATAGGAGATAATTGGATTGGGCTAGTAGAAGTATAAGAAGGATAGACACAGCATTTTGAAGATATATGTATTGGGAAGAAATTTAGGTGGATTCTTTATAATGGGTGAGAAAAGGAAACTGCTAGAACAACCAGGATGTTTTGATTGAATTACCTGATGACTGGCAGAGTCGGGTCGAGTGCAAGATTACATGAAGAATGGGTTTTGGTGTCCAAATTGCAGTGTTGGGCCTGCAAACTACAAGTTGTTTTGATGCGCACAAACATATCTGTATTGGTTGCTTTCTGTTCCTGTGATAAGACACCATGATCAAAGGTAACTTTAAGGAATGGAGTTGATTTTGGCTCACAGTTCCGGAGGGATAAGCGGCTTCAGTGTCAGGACAGAGGTGTGGCACGAAGCAGCAGGCATTCTCAGTAGTGGGAGCAGGAAACTGACAGGCCACATCTTGAACAGCAGCCTCAGAGCAGAGAGAGGAAGCAGGGTGAAGCTGTGCATTCTCAAAGCCACACCAGTGACTTCCTCCAGGAAGGTGACATCTCTTAACCCTCCCAAATGGAGCCAGCAACTGGGCATCAAGTGTTCAAAGGCCTGAGCATATGGAGATATTTCTCTGTTAAGCCATCCCGGCACCTTACTGGAGAAGTCCAGAGTTCACAGTTGTAGTTGGCTTTAGAGATGTAGATTGCTGTCCTGGGAGGGAGTGAAATCAGGAATAGAAGAGGCATCAGCTGCAAAGTCACACTGGCTTTTAGAAAAGGAGTGGGCAGCAGAGAGGATTGGGAATGGAGGCGAAGGTAAGGAGTTGTCAGCCAGTCGAAACCTCTGAGGATTTGGAGGTGGGGATCTCAGATTAACAGGGTTGAGACTGTGGTAGCCTTTCCAAAGGAAGTTCTGTTGCTGGGTAGGGGGAGTCATGGGGTGGAGGGAGGAAGGCAGGGGAAGCTGAGCTGGAGTCATGGGGGAGCTGAGCTGGAGTCCTGTTTAGGAGCGAATAGGAACAGATAATTGGAGGATGGCAGCAGGCATTGGAAGCCTAAAAGAGAAAGAAGGTATACAATTGTCATCTTAAGAACAGGAGAGTGGGGTCTGTGTCATGAGTGAAATTGGTCATTATCATCTTGTTTTATTTTCAAGTATGTGCAGCTACTTGGGTATAGGCATGAGTTAGCCAAGGAAGTTGAGTGTAATTAGAGTAGGAATTTTGCCAGGTAAACTCCACGGAGGTGAGTAAAGAAGCATGAAGCTGAGAGTCAAATGAATGCTCACTACAGCGTGGCCAGGAAAGGAAAGCATGGGGGGAGAGTAGATGGGGTGTGTATGTTGGGGGGGAAGGCAGAGTCAATGGGCTTTATTCTGAGGTGTTAGTATTTTGAATCAGGGAAAGCATGCTGGAAAGAGTGATAGGTATGTTTGTGTTCAGAGTGCAAAATGTCTATAATTGAGAGTTTGTGGTGCAGCAGTACTTTTATTGGGCAGTTTTAAGGTCAGAGATTTAGTGGCTCAGATTAGATGAGTAAAAGGTTGTTGGAAATGGAGGAGCCAAGGATACAAGGTCCAAACTTGGATGGAGCATATCTGTGGGTGTTAAAATCACTAGGAATGATCACAGAAATAGTAGTGTAGGGAAAGACAGTTAACGGATAAATAAACACAGTCATCCATGAATAAAAGTATGTGATGTCACAAGATGGCTGCAGTCTGGAATAGCAGGATGTGTGATCTTAAGTCATAAACTTCAGGAGAGGCTGGGCTGTTTGATGGGCAGGTGAAATGGTGAAGAAATTCAAAACAAGGAGATAGCTTCAGAAAGGAGAGCAGCCAGTGCAACTGAGCCATATCTGCAGTCCAAGCCTGACTGTGGCAGTGGAAGTCTTTAATCCCAGCACTCAGGAGGCAGAGTCAGGCTTCGAGGTCAGCCTGGTCTACAGATCAAGTTCTGGGACAGCCAGGGTTACACAGAGAAACTTGTCTCAAAAACAAACAACCAGACAAACAAACAAACAAAAAAAAAACACAAATGAAGCTTGAAAAAGGAAATGAAGGCAGGCTTCATGCTTTTGGCACAGAGTGTCATATCACATGGAGTAAAGCTGAGAGTTTGGAAGGTGGCCACAGATTAGAAAGGCTCATATTTTATTTTGCTGATGACTAATTAAGGCGATAAAGAGCCCTCCCTGGGGGAATGAGGGGATGGGGGGGGGTTGGGGGGAGGGCACGGGAGTTGGGGAGGGAAAGGGAAAGGGACCTGGAACTGACTTGTGAAGCAACCTTGTTTCTTATCTAAATTTAAACTGGAAAAAAAAAAAAAAAGAGTGAGTGACTCTTGGGCAAGGTTTCCAAACAGTTTTAAGTTCCAACTCACATGGTGTTACATTGATTTCGGAATTAGAAACAGTGTTAGGTTAGTGTAGAATCTCTACTTCTCTTCTTCTGTGTAGGTCAGTAAACTTTGAGTTTATAATTTATAAATTTAGAATTTATTCTATATTTCAAATAGCAAAAATTTGAAAAAGAAGTTTGAAAATGGGAGTGAAGAAAGTGATTTAGGGATTCAAGAAGGAAATGATTTGCTGGAATTCACTGTAGAGAATAGATGAAAATCTGGTTATTATACTGTATTATGACATGATTAAATAAAATCTCTGCTTTTTAATTCGAATATTAATAGTATTTTTTTCCTAGCAGAGAAAAGCCTACCTAATGAGATGAAGAAACAGCTGAACGAAATCTCTGAAGAAATGAGGGACCTAGCCATGCATTTTCCTGTCCCTTGCAGAAACTTGGAGAGTCTACAGAGGTTAAATGCTGTGCTTTTTAAATATTTATTTTATTTTTAATTGTGTGTGTGTGTGTGTGTGTGTGTGTGTTTGTGCATGTCAGTGCAAGTGCCCATGGAGGTCAGAGGTTGCAGATTTTCTCTGGATCTGGAGTTTCAGATAGTTGTGAGTCACCTACACATCTTGTGTGTGCTGGGTACCAAACTCAGGGCCTCTGCAAGAGCAGAATGTGTCACCTGTCTGTCTGTCTGTCTGTCTGTCTGTCTGTCTGTCTGTCTTTTTGAGCTGAGGCCCGGACCCAGAAAGCCTTATCACTTAGCCATGTCTCTAGACTCCAAACATATTATTTGAAGAATTAACTTTTTATTTTGATAGACTCCTACAAACTTGCTGTGATGCATGCACATAAAGTGATAAAAACTTGAAAACTAGTTTTCTAGTCACCAAATAGAACATCTTAGAGCTCTGAAGCTTTTCTGTCTGCTTTGTAGGATGTTTTAGGAAACAAAGACATGTTTATGTTGTAGTTTTGGTCAAAGCAAAGTAAGTATCCACTAAGGATAATAAGAGTTAGTACACAATTTATTATTATTTGGTCATGAGAATATTTAATGTTATTATATCTATAGTTTGGTCACTTGAGATTTGTGAAGAAAAGCAACTTTTATGCTAGTAACTTTTCTTCTTTCTTTCCTAGTTTTCTTTTTCTTTTTGGTTAAGAATATTAGCTACACTTGATCTCAGTTTAAAGGTCGAGAAACAAGTTTAACTAGTTAGTGGGATATTAGGAAAAGTATTCTAATTTTAGATTTTACGGCCAGTGGTTTGGATCACTTGAAATATGTGGAGTGAATCCTCTGTACAAATTAGTAGACCATGCACTGTACACTTGGAGTAGCTAGACCTCTTTTAAAAGCAGACATGTGGTATGTACCTGTAATCTCTGTACTCTGGAGGCTGAGATAGAAGGATCACAAGTTCAAGGCCAGCCTGCCTAACAAAAAGCTTTAAACATTTTATTATTTTACAATAAGTCTATTATTGGATTTTGAGCTTAATTTAACACTTTTCAGTTTTATAAATCTTACTATATATATAGCTGCTCATAGGTAACAACTGTATATGAATAATGTGATAGGAATAGTTATGATGCAATGTAATTGTAAAATAAATATGTTGCTATAGCAACAGTAACAGTTCAACTAACAATACTATAATGTCTCATTTATCCTGTACTAACATCAGAGTAGGACATAAACACTTACTCTCATACTAAAGGCTTGTCTGTGAAGACACACAAGGTGGCATGCACTTTTCCTTCCTTAAAATTCCTAGCATGCTCACTAGTTAGCAGTGGACAAGCTTGTCACCCAGCAGAAAGTCAAATCCACACTGAATCTAAAATCAAAGACTAAAATCACTAAATAACACCAATCCTATCAGGGTCCTTGGAAACAAAAACAACCTTCCTTTCTGCAGTAAACCTTAGACTGCTCTATTGTGAGTTCTTGATGCTAATACAGTCTACTTAGCATGCCGCAATGAAGCAGTAGTTACACCTTTCCAGACAACCATTAACTGCAGAGCTCCTTAGGGAAGGATGGGGTCTCTGCTGAGCTTCCTCATCCATGGGGAATGTCGAAAGGCCCTGTCTTTTGCAGCTCGTATGCAGGCATCCACAGCTGCTCTGTGTGTGTGAGATTTCCATAGCCATGTTATATCCAGAAGGTAAGGTTTCATATCCCCCCTCCACATCTCCTGACTCTTACAGTCTTTCCATCCTTTCTGTGATGTTCAGGGAGCCTAGGAAGGAGTGATATAGAGGTCCCATTTCAGGCCGAGCATACAACAATCATCTGTGCTCAGCACTTTGACCATTATGCGCATTCATTAGCCGTATCCCACTGGAAAAAAAAGAAAGGTTTTTCTGACCAGGACTGAGAGCAGCACTGTGGGTAAAAGCATAAATAGTGAAGGCAATATGACCGTGTGCATAGGTTCCTCGCTAGGACCATTGACCTCCCCAGCCATAGGCTTTGGCCATATTTACCCCAGCAGTCATTTATTCCCTCTGGAAGTCCAGGCTCCAAGTTCTATGAGAATGCTGGTGGTCCCCCAGCCAGTCATGTCACTACTCACCAGTAGGCACACCTTGCCTGGCAGGTTGGTACTGTGGCATGCAGGGTACTCTCCTGGGACAACTCACACTCTGATAGTTTATTTTCACAGAAGAGAAATGTTTCATTTGAATCAGTAACTTAAAATTTCCTTGCGCTACACGAACATTTCAGATTATATAAATACTGAAAAATTAGAATATATATCCCACAGCATTTATTATCTTATCAAATGTATCTCTTTGCTTATGAAACTCCTTTGACTATCACTAATTTCTTCATTTATTATTGATATCCTCTCTTTTGTATATTTAGTATTTTGATTATGTGTTGTGGGGAATTTCTTTTCCAGTCCTGTCTATTTAGATAACTGTCTGATTTTTGTACTTTGTTAAGCATTCCTTTCTTGAGATTGAGGAAAATTTCTTGTATTTTTTGTTAAAAGTATTTTTATGCCTTTATGTGGATTTCTTCTGCTTCCTCTATATCTATTTTTGTAGGTTTGCTCTTTGTATAGTATTTCAGGATTCCTGGATGTTTTGTGCCTGGAGTTTTATTATTATTATTATTTAGCATTGTTTGACTGAACTGTCATTTCTTCTACCTTGTTTTTAAAACCTGAGATTCTTTCTTCCATGTCTTTTGATCTGTTGGTGAGGCTTACGTCTGTGGTTTTTATTTTCATTTTGGGTTTTCTTTGGTGGTTGTATTTTTTTGATAAATTCTACTTTCATGTCTTACTTTTTTTCCCATGCAGTGTTTGTATTTTTACTGTTTTCATTAAGGCATTTGTTTATATCCTCTTTAAGGTCCTTGAACAACTCATAATTGCTATTTTGAAGTTCTTGTCTTGTGCTTTAGCTAAATTACCCTTCTTTGTTTCTGTCTTTTTTGGGTGGGTGTTCTGTTTTTCTGTTTTGTTGCCCACTCTGGGTCCTAGCCAAGTTTGGTAACAGTGGGGTTATGTGTCTAGGAGTCAGCAGGTATCACAAAGGGTTGGAAAAGGACTTGAAAAAAAGGCTGAAATTCCAGCAGATAAGGAAAGAAATAGGGGGCCCTAGGTTCACACCAAGAGGCAGAGTCCTCAGGGGATGAAGGTGGGCTGAGAGTAGGGGCTCCTGGGAGCCTGCAGTAGGACAAAGAGTAAGTCTAGAGAGTTCTAATGGAGGACAGAAAGGATAAGAAAGGTTGCTTCTAGCTTAGTGTGGCCACGGGTGGTCTCTGGTCGTGTGATTCTGAGGGTTGATAGTTGTCACATTGGGTGGAGATGGGCTAGAAGGATAGGTTGGAAGAGTTTGCAGAAAGAACTACAGGACTCTGGGTCCATCATCAAACATTTTTTTTTACAGAAATTTGTAATCTCTTCTTGCGTCTTTAGTGCAGAATTCAATGAAATAGTTTCTACTTTGTTGTTTTTGTGGTCGTATGTTATTGATGTACTTTATATGTCATTAAATTAATTATCAAATAGAAAAAGGAAAAGCTGGCATAAGTGTGACTCTTAATGAATATTCAAGACTACTGCTAGGATCAGAAGTACCTAATTACACAGGCTAGTGGACTGTCACTCATAATCTCCCATGGTCATGTGAAAATAACAGTTTACACCAATGGGGCTTCTTTGTAAGCTTTTGTTTATAAACATCTTTAAAACTTGTCTTTATGAGTAATAAAAGTAAACTTGAATAATGCTTCTTGAATTTTTTAGGGTTCCTATAATATTGAAGAATATTTCAGAAAATCTATGTTCACTGAGAAAGGTGTTATTTGGTTCTACAAACACTGAGACTAAATTGAAACAGAGCAGTAGTTTTAACTTAATGTCATCAGAAGATTCAGCTGCTGTTGGAGAACGAGAGAAACAAACTGGAGAACACGGGACTTTCCCCAAAATTAAAGAAGAGGCATGGGACCCAGAACTTGACAGTTTAGTGAAGCACTATGAAGTTGATATGTTTAGAAATAAAGTGAAGCAAGAAGAAGGTTGGTTTGGAGATGAAGTAGAAGACAATCTGTGGAAAGAAGATATGGAAAGAACTTGTATGACGTTAGATATTTCAGAATATGAACTCCACGTTTTGAAAGAGCAGGAAGAAGAAAAAAAATGTAATGATGTTTCTCACCAACCTTCTGAGGTACTAAATCGAGAGGGAATAATATATCTATCAATGATTGGCTTACTTTGTTGTATAAATGCACACAATGCAAATATGTTAGGCTTTGTGATACGTGTAGTACCTGTTGCAACTGTTCAGTTTTGCTGTTGGATTGTAAAGTAGCCATAGACACATGCAAAGTGCTTCAGTAAAACTTGATTTACAAATACAAACAGAGGGCCACCTTAATGTATGAGACCCACTTAGTATAATAAATAGCGTTGCATATTTGAAAGATTTTATATTATCAAGAGAACATTTATTGGAATTTCTGCTTACCCTTCCTTCCTTCCTTCCTTCCTTCCTTCCTTCCTTCCTTCCTTCCTTCCTTCCTTCCTTCCATCCTTCCTTCCTTCCATAATAGGTAATGGCTTTTTGGTGCGTACTTCCTAATTTACTCCTCTAAACCTGATTTGGGGGATAGGTTTTATTCCTACAGTTAGAAATTTTGCTAGCGTGAAAGGGTGCTTTGTTTTATAGGCTTCTGTTCTGTTCTCTAGAGAGGGAATGAACTCCTGTTTCTTTCATAATTTCACTAGCTCACAAATTACTGAAGACACTCAGAATCTCTGGAGTTTTTGCATTTTTTTGCAGTAACAAATTTTATTTTAGATTTCGAAGACATTTTATAGAATTAGTTCTCCTAATTTCATTATAGAAATAGACACCCAGTCTTAGATAAATTCCTTGGGTTTTGTAACATTTTCCCAATTGTTTCTATTGAGCATGTAAATGTATGCTGTTTTAAAATTTTCAAAATAATCTCATTCCAACCACTTGTGATGCAAACTCTCTCTTTAGAAAATACAGGCGTTGGTGGAGCACGCCTTTAATTCCAGCACTTGGGAGGCAGAGGCAGGTGGATCTCTGAGTTCGAGGCCAACCTGGTCTATAGAGTGAGTGCCAGGATAGGTTCCAAAGCTACACAGAGAAACCCTGACTCAAAAAACCAAAAAAATTCTGTATTTTGCTGACATGTGAATTATTCCAATTCTGTAGAAATTTCTCATTAGAAATGCACTTTAATATTTTATGTAAAAGAGAATTATGATCATGATTTTGATTCGACTAATATCTTTTATATATACCAATTACTGCCATTTTATTATACAAATTACTAGCATTATTTTTTATTTGTTTAAGACCCTATTTAGAAAGCAATAAAATCTTTCTGAGTTAAAGAAATGTATTGTAAAGTCTTTTGATAGCTTTAAATTAACATGTTAATTAAGGCTGTTTTCCTTTTCCCATTTCCAAATTAAATATTCAACATTTAGGGAGTTATTTCTACTCGATTTGTGTGTGTATGTATGTGTGTGGGGGGATTCACATCTTGTTAGGCACCTGATTCCTTGGGATCACCAAATTACTGTAAAGAGTCTTCAATTCCAAAATTATATATCTGTTACCTTTTCAAATAGACTAACACTGATTTATTTAAAGATAATGTAATTACTATATATTAGTCTCTGGTATTTTTAAGTCAATATATGTATATATATATATATATGAAAGAACAGTTACTTTTCTTGGTTTGTACAGATTTTTCAACATTGTATAGTTTCAAAAGTTGGAGAGACTCAGTTTGACATTGATTGACCTTAGAACTTGCACTTTTAAGTATAGATTGTATTTTGAATCTGTTATCTAACTTGCCGATCTTTTTAACTATGCAGTTTCTTTCTTTTTGATTATATTTTAAAAAATCACTCTTTTTCCTTTTCCATTCCTCTGTCTAGTCATCCTGTAAACATATAATTATACTTTATACATTTGCCTTTAAAGGAGAGGAAGATGTCTAAATACTTCCAGTGAATACAACAGAGGGTATAGAATCAATGATACAGAAAGTTAATCTTTGAACTACTTTTCTTTTTAAAGCATTTATCTCCCACGGATGATGAGAAGGATTCCTCTTATATAATTGAAAGTGATGAAGACTTAGAGATGGAGATGCTTAAGGTGTGTTATGTCAAGGTTTTTAAAGAACACTTAGATAACTGAAAAATTTTCAGCTCTAAATCAAATGCTATCACAATGAAATTCTTACCCATAATTTAATATTAGACAGTTTTTTCAATTTACATTTCCTAATACGTAGATAGTGTCTTAGGTATAATATTGTGAGTTCTCATGTGTGTTCCATGTTCCTTCCATGTCTCTCACTGGAATTGGCCAGTGACTAAGCACTTCAGTATGGAATTGATTTCCTGTTCTTCATTATTTGCCACATTTCAGATGTTCTGTGTTTACCAATTGAATCATTTTCAGTTCCTGGTTTCTCTGACTGTGGGATTTTATTACTGATTGCATGTAATTTTATAATGGTTGTTTTACTCTGCTGTGCGATCTAGCTAAAGTATACATTTGTACATTTTCTATCCCTTCACTCAACCTCCAGTGTGTCAAGTGTCATGAATCATATATGGGCAAGAAAAGCGACAGTGAAAAAAGGGAAAAGCACAATTTAGTTAAATCAAGGGAAAAAAGAAAGAAATAAAGTGTGCTTTTGTGCCTACTTCTTATCTATCAACTTTAGGTTAGTGTGGTTTTTCTTTGTACGGAGCAGCAGTAATTCTCTGCTGCTTTAGTTTTGAATCCTAATGTGACAATCACAGAGGTGATAAGGATGGCTTGAGTCACCCCTTTCCATTGAAGTCCAGTGCTTACATCAGCGTCCTCCACAGAGTATGGCTCATATTTAAGAAATTTAGCTCATATTAAGCGAAATCATATTCCCTTTGCTGGTTACTCCTTTCTCTGGTGCTTTCTGTTCAAGTGGTGCCTATATGGGATACGCCTTTAATCCCAGCACTCTGTGGATCTCGAGACCAGCCTGGTCTACAAGAGCTAGTTCCAGGACAGCCTCCAGAACCACAGAGAAACCCTGTCTCAAAAGACAAAAAAAAAAAAAAAAAAAAAAAGAATTTAGATTAAATGAATCTTCCGAGTCACTCCTTAGTAAAAAGTTTTATAAAGTAATTTCAAATGTACTAGTAATTTTGAAATAGGGAGAAAATATATAATGTCAAAAAGAAATTTATTTTATATAAGTAGTATTTCTCTCCTAAAATTATTTGAATCTTTTTTGACAATTCCAAAACATATCTATTCCTTGCTTGTAATATAAGCATCATCTTTACTCAAGAAAAATGTGACTGACATGTAATATAGAGAAACTTACTATAAAAATAGCAGTAAGATTTGCATTTTACCACTTGGAAACCTAAAACTCTGAAGTCGATAAGGAAAACTGTTTAAATTATGCAAATTGACATTTTATGATCGATTTCCCCGGGGCAGTCATTGTATGTTATTAATGAACCTTGTGCATGCTGGCCGGTTGCATCCTGGCCTTGTGCCTTGGAGCCCTTCTCCAGCACATGTTTACAGAGGAGCACACGTGTCCTTTTGTACTGTTGCTGCACATCTGCTAGTTCTCAACAAAATTGTAGGCTTCGTTAATAACGTCCTCTTTGTGCTTAGTAAAAAGATACGATATTGCCAGTGTTTTGCTTTTAAATTTTCTATTCAACTTTCAGTCTTTAGAAAACCTAAATAGTGACGTGGTGGAACCAACTCATTCTAAATGGTTAGAAATGGAAAGCAATCCAAGTCTTCCTCCTGAGGAGGAGGAGGAGGATGGAGATGGGGAGGAGGCTATTGAAGAGGATCAGGAAGATGAGGGTAAGAAAGAGGTTGGAAACGTTTCACTTTGATTTTGTGCCGGGTTTTCAGTGATTTAGAGTTTAACGACTTGGTGGCATACAGCTCACTATTAGGTCTTTAAAGCAGCCATTGAATTTCTCAGTGCTCTTGTCTCTCAGGAAATTGGTGAGTGAAGCCTTTCATCCTTCAGTTTGGGTCCTGGTGATAGTGGTGCAGTAGTTTACTGGCTGCTTACATTGAATACCATTGTAAGTGATCGGCTTATGTGGAGTCTGTCCTAGGAACTTGGCTGTTTAAGCAAGTACCACACACCAGGGAGCTTTCTTATAGCAAAGAATGTGTGCAAATGGTGTAATTATCAGCTAAGTGTAAATAATCAGTCCATTTGTCAACTTGTAGAGTCTCCTCAAAAAGTAGAATTCTCACTATACTCAGGCTATACTATTGTGTGAAGATGTGGACATTTCAAAACATTTTGTAGATGGAAGGTATTTATAAGTAAATTGATAAAATATTTTCATCTGCTTTCTTTTATTAAATGCAGCCATCTGTTTGATTTTTCTATTAAGATCTGTTAAGCATGTGAGATTATACTTACTTTTCGTATATCCAGTGATATCTTACTTAGAGTCTGTGTGAATCTTTGCATCTAAGGATGGACAGTGGTGGGCACTTTGGCAGAGCTAACATAGCCACGGTCTAGTGCAATTGAAAGTTTTGGCTAAAGATTTAGTGTGGTGATACTTTGTTTTTGATCTAACAAGTAAAGCTTGCCTGAAGATCAGAGTGCAAAGCTAGCCACACTAGCCATAGAGTCCAGGCAGTGGTGCCACACACCTTTAATCCCAGCACTTGGGAGAAAGAAGCAGATGGATCTTTGTTAGTTCAAGGCCACCTTGGGCTACACAAACTTGATTGAGTCTAAAAGAGAAACAGGAACAGAGTTCACACAAAGGTGATCACAGCAGTTGGGATCACCTGCCTTTAATCCCAGCACTAGGGAGGTGGAGCCAGATACGACTGGGTGGGTAGAGGAATATAAGGTGGGAGTAGACAAGAGATGGGTACAGTCTAGGCAGTCAGACTGAGCTGAGCATTCAGTCTGAGGATTTGTGGAGACAGGATCACCCCCTTGAGGTAGAGGTAAGAGCTAGTTAATTCAGAACTATTAAGCTACACAAAGTAGGGATGTCCTGTGATATTTTCTTGAGGGAGAAATCACTTATTAAGAAAGCTGAGAACCAAAGGTCTGCATGCTGGAACCCAAGGAGAAAGCGTCTCTTCCCCCAGCTCTTTCATCCCTCTTACGTTCCTGTACCTGTGACCACACCCAAATCTCTCCCTACAGCTAGTGACTGGTTGCTTTGCTTATTTAATCTTTCATCTCCCCTCCCCCAATATATGACTCCTGGTTTTTATTATTAAGGCTTATTAGAATTTGTGCAACAATATAGGTAGCTTAATTTACCTAACTAAATTGGATAGGTAACTAAATTAGATCAAGGTAACTGAATTTTGGTAACTAGATTTAGTTTTGACAGCTAAAATGAATATTTTACTTTTTCTGTATTCTTAATTTGGGACACTAATGTAATTTATATTAACAGGAATTGGAAATTGTTTCTAATATGAAATTTCTGTTGGCGCATTGGTTGCTTTGGTTTGGCTTATTCTGGATGTTAGGTCTTGTAAGTGTACCTAACTAGAAAATTATGGCCCCTTTTCCTCTAGTGGTGGTAAAGTATGAAGCCCAAGTACAATTCTAATACTTTAGTAATAACCAAAGGATTTGCCTGGTGTTGTGACAGATTCCCAGAAGATCAAACTTGATTAGAATGGAAAGAAATTAACATGTTACCTGTCATTGTATTCTTTATAAGAAGCCAATGAAATGAACATTTTCCTCCTTTTACATGGTGTATTTGTTTTTGAACATAAATGTCAATTTTATTGTCTTATTTATTTTTAAGACCATTTATTGCCAGAGCCCAATGCAAAGCAAATTAATTGCCTCAAGACCTACTTTGGCCATTGCAGTTTTAAACCGTGAGTGTGATCTCTATTATGTACTTAAATTTTTTTCACAAAGGAAAAGTAAATAATCCATTCATGTAACAGTAGCAGCCCAATTTTACTGTTAAATGTTAAATGTATATCATATTCAACTCCAAAGTTACTTGAAGTATTAACTATATAAATTTCTTGGTTCATTTAACAAGAAAGGAAGCAGTTTTTGCTTTAACTGGGTGGTTCTGGGTAGAGGCTGTATGATAAGAAATGCATTTTCTTTCATTGCTGACTTACCTTACATTAAGTATGAAACTGGAGGAAACAAGAATCCCTCCTGTTTTGTGCAGGTGTCCCACAGCATGCTGTCATAAGTCTCTAGGAGAACAGTATGAGGGACAGTGATGTTTTACTGTTTTAACATATCAAAATATATTCACATCTAGAGGGCTGTATCAGTCAGTGTTCTATTGCTGTGAAGAGACACCATGGCCATGGCAACTCTTGTAAAAGAAAACATTTTGTTGGGGCTGGCTTACTTGTTGGGAGGTTTAGTTCATTTTTGTCATGGGGTGAAGTGTGATAACACACAGGCAGACATAATGCTGGGGATGCAGCTGAGAGTTCCACATCTGGATCTTCAGGCAGCTAGAAGTGAGAGTCAGACACTGGTCCTGGCTTGAGCTTCTGAAACCTCGGAGCCCACCCCCCAGTGACACACTTCCTCCAACAAGGCCACACCTCCTCCAACGAGGTCATATGTTTCCTAATCCTTTCAAATAATGCCACTCCCTATGAGCCTTTGGTAGCCATTTTTATTCAAAACACCACAAGGACACATTAAAAACTAGAAAAATGAGATGGAACAAAAATGAGATTACGAACAAGTAAATTTGAATAAGACCAGTAAGAAAGTAAAAAATCTAGACTTAGTTTTTCCAGTTTGAGAATTTAAAATAGAATCCATTGAAGCATTTCTTTCCTTCTTTTAATTTAGTTTCTTTTAAAATTAAAATATATCCTATGTACAGAAGGATACACAGATGTATAGAGAAGTAAATTCTGATAACTCAGTATGCTGGTATAGACAACAGTCAAATAAGAATAGCTTGTCATCTACATAAGCAGAAGGTCTCATCTCCAGTAGATTTTCCCTTGCACAGTTCCTACAATATTGCTCTTGCTTATTTTAAAATACTCGTTCTTTTGGGTCTATAGTATAAAGCTGGGAATTTATTTTATACTTTAGCTATATGGAAACTCCTGGTTATTCAGTCAGTCTGAATTTAGAGGTTGACCAAATGGCACTGGCTTTTTTTTTGTCACAAGTTCTAGCATTTGCACATATTTATGTAGGAAGTTCAAAAAAGTCGGAGTTTATTAGAGAGCAGAAGTTAAGTAGGTTTTAACTTGTTCATTGGATTGTTATTGATAAAGCTTTTTATTTTTTACTTTGAAGGGTTCAGTGGAAAATCATTCATTCTGTATTAGAAGAAAGAAGAGACAATGTTGTTGTCATGGCAACTGGTAAGTTACACTTAAAGTAAATAATTCAATCATTTAAAAATCATAAAGGTGTTTAATCCTTCACAAACTTAAATATAAGAGAGAGTGAACATGGAAAATTTTTATATTTATGCATGAATTACCTTGTAAGTCTATTTATTCTGCTATATAAGCACACTGTAAGAAGAAAGTAAAATATCAAGAGATTTTTATTTGTGTGTATTATTTTTATTCAAGGATATGGGAAGAGTTTGTGCTTCCAGTACCCACCTGTTTATGCAGGCAAGATTGGCATCGTTATTTCACCTCTTATTTCTTTAATGGAAGACCAAGTTCTCCAGCTTGAGTAAGTAATGGTTTCATTGCTACATCGTCTGCCTTTGATAAGTGAGCACAAAAGAACATCAGGCCAAGCTGGCCTCAAAGGCCCCATTCTTCTCTCCCAGAGAAGAAGTGAGAGTCAGACACTGGTCCTGGCTTGAGCTTCTGAAACCTCGGAGCCCACCCCCAGTGACACACTTTCTCCAGCAAGGCCACACCTCCTCCAACAAGGCCATATCTTTCCTAATCCTTCCAAATAATGCCACTCCCTATGAGCCTTTGGTAGCCATTTTTATTCAAAACACCACAAGGTGTTTGCCTTGCCCAGCTGTCCTCCTATTTTTGTTCTATAAATGAAACATCAAATGTAAATATAGTTCGCAGTACTATGTTTGTGATAGCGACTTGATCTTCCTTCCTTCCTTTCTTCTCTTCTTTATTGAGATAGAATCTTGCTATATATAGTCCAGGATGGTAGCACTCTGTTCTCTTGCCTTGCCCTGCAAGCATTGGGCGTACAGAGCATGCATGCCCTACTGCACCTGACTGCATTTATTAGTAGCAAATGATGTGTCAATGGAAAGATGTACATTCCTTCTTGGGTTCTCTAATTCAAGGCTACCAGATTATCATGGTCATGTTTTAAAAAGATATATTGCTTTATGGCTTTTTCCAAATTCTTTTTTTTTTTTTTCATCTGTCTGGGCCCTTTAGCTTGATATGAGTTGTATATATAAAAGTTTACTTTTTAAACTATTTTATCACCTCTGAAAATTTCATGCATGTTTTGATTACATTCACTCCTAACCGTGAAGTTTACTTTTTTTAATCTATAAAAAATCTTACAATTTCTTCTTGAATGACCCATATTAAAAAGTTGCCTTCTCATCAGGCTCTTGAAGAAAGAATATTGGAAAATAGAGGACATAAATTATTAAATCTCTTCTTTGAGAATTAACTCAGTGTTTGTATTATGTGAATTGATGCAGAATATTTGTGTCTTTTTATAGGATGTCCAACATTCCAGCCTGTTTACTTGGATCAGCACAATCAAAAAATATTCTAGGAGATATTAAATTGTGAGTAATTTCTGTGATTTCAGATCACATTGTAAGATGTTTATAGTGCAAGAGAATCTTGTACACATTTTTATTTAAGGTATGAGTAAATTGTCTATGTTTGAAAACATACTTTAAAAAAACTTTATTTTTGCAATTATACCATATTTACAATTCTCCCTTCCCTTTCTTCCTTCTAAATTTTCCCATATAGCCCTGCTTGTGCTCTGTCACACTTAGAACCTTTCCCCCATGTTATTATATGCATATATGTATATACATATATATTCCTAAATAGAATCCACTCCGTCTGTATATTGTTAATTGTGTGTATGTTTTCAGGGCTGACCATTTGGTGTTGGATAAGCAGCTGGTTTGCACATCCCTTGAAAAAACTACTTCTGCTCTTAGTATTTGTTTGTTGTCTGAGGCTCTTTGTGTAGGATTGAGGCCTCATTTTTTCTTAACTGAGTAATTTTTTGATATATAGGTATTCCACATTTTGCTTATCTAGTCCTTGGTGATGAGCACTAGAGATTTTTCTACTTAGAGGTTGTAATAACAGGTGGAGTGCACTGAAACTTCATGTACAAGTTTCTGCATGAGGGTATGTTTTCAGTTCCCTAGTGTGCATGCTTAGGAGCAGAATTGCCGGGTCATGTGCTAATTTCATGTTTATCTTTTTAAGAAATGGTCAAACATTTTGAGAGTGATCCCACCATTCACATCTCTAGGGGCAGTGTGTGAGAAGTCCTGTGTCATGCCAAACCTATCATTACCTAGACAGTTTTTGGTTTTAACTACTAACTGTATTTTCAGGATCTCATTGTATTTTCAATTTGCATTTTCCTGGTGAATAAGTATGCCGAGTATCTTGTACTTATTGCTGTGTGTAACTTTGTAGAAGTGTCTGTTCCAATCTTTTGCCAACTTCAATTTTTTAATTCTGTTTTGGTGGTAGTTCATATTTTGTGGATACAAACCTCTTATTTATATGTACTTTGCTAGTTTATGACCTTTCTTCCTCTTTCAGTAATTCTTTTTTCATTGTATCTATCTATCTGTCTGTCTGTCTGTCTGTCTATCTATCTATCTATCTATCTATCTATCTATCTTCTATCTGTTTATTTATTGGTTTTTCAAGACAGGTTTTCTATGTGTAACAGCCCTGGCTGTCCTAGAACTCATTTTGTAGACCGGGTTGGCCTTGAACTCATCATAGAGGTCCTCCTGCTTCTACTCCTGAGTGTTGGGACTAAAGCTGTTCAGTAATTCTTTTGAGGGGGATAGTTTTCCAGTTAGAAAAAGTCTAGTTACCAGTTTGTTCCTACAGATTTTGCTTTGGCTATTTAAAAACTCTTCCTAGCCCAAGGTTATAAAGATTGTTTATTTTCTCTTAGAAGTTTCACAGTTCTATGTTTGGATCTATAACCCACTTTTGGCAAAAATCTTTATATTGTGTGAGGCATTAGTTGTAGTTTTTTTTTCTTATAAGGATATTCAGTTGTTCTAGCTCCATCTTTTCTCCACTGGATTCCCTTTGTACCTTTCTCAAAAATGAACTGAGTAGGTGTGCAGATTACTTGCTGTGTGTCTGCTCATGCTTCTGAGGATCTGTCTGTCTTAGTTACCAGAGCTATATCAATAAGTCTGTCAGCCTGGAGTGGAAGCCCTCCAATTATGCTCTTTGTTTTCAGGGTTGTGATAGTTTTTCTGGCTACTCTGTGGGTCCAGGAATGTTCTAGTGTCCATATTTTAACCCAGATGCCCTAAGTCTGGCTCCCTAAGGAAACAGCTGAGTTTCAAGAAACTGGGACATACTGGAGTTAGCTAACTTGTCTCAGATCAGTTTCCATGTAGGAAGGAGAACTGAGTCCAAAACCTGGGTAGAGTGACACCAGGTTTTTATTATTTTTATTGTTCTGTATAGTAATTAGAGTACTGTATTAATTTCCTGGAGATAAAGGAAAGTTTATTCTATGCCTAATAAATTCCTAGTGGAAATACAGTGTTTAGTATGTAATAAACACTCAAATATTTGTTGATGGATGAGTTAAAAACTTAACTTTTTATTTGGAAAATGAAGTCTAATTCGATCTGTTTTTATTTGGTAAAGTGAAGACACACCATAAGTAGTTTCTAGCCTTCATTATAAAAATTATCATAATAACAAATGAACAAGAGTAGCTTAAGCAAAAATTGAGTTTTGTTTTAAGGATAAAGGAATTTCACACGGCTGCCATTGAGAAAACCTGACATGGAGAATATAAAAGAGCTTCCTTTTTGCATCCGGTCTCTTCTCATGTTTTTTTCTGAAGAGTTCAGTCACCAAATAAAAGATGGCTGCTCTGCTGCTCTCTCTTTGGCTTGTTGCTCTGACTGGTTGCTTCTTGATCTGGTATTCATATTCTGGGAGGGATTGCCTTCTATCCCTGTGAGCAGAATACAGAGAACGATATTGAGCTCTTACTCACAAGAGAACACAGCATCTGGGTTTTAGCTCTCACAGGTGGAGTATGTGGATGAGGATAATACAAAAGCTTGCAAAGGCTTGATCATCTAGCTTGGGCAGTTTTTTTGGGGGTGGGGAACTGGACTGTTAGAAACCAGAATCTGGCTTGTAATACAACCTTTGTGCCAAATGCTCCCTGACAGGAATCACTGCATTTTGTTTTGTTGAGTTGAAGATAAAGCACTAACGCGTGTGGATGTGTGTGTATGATGTTCCTTTGTCACATATTTTGATTTTAATTTGTTACTCTTGACTTGATTGTTTTCTCTATTGGAATGTCTCCTTTTCTGTTTTGGTTTGTCTTTGCAGAGGCAAATACAGGATCATATACATAACTCCAGAATTCTGTTCTGGTAACTTGGACTTACTCCAGCAGCTTGACTCTAATATTGGTAAGTAACAAATAGGACTTTTGTGAACACAAAGGAAACTCATGGTTGGAGACTAGATTTCAAACGTTTGCTTTGATGGGAAATCTCTGACTTTTTTTTTTTTTTTTTGCTCCATTTTATAATACCCTGTAATTCCACATTCCATAAAGGTGGGACTCCAGAGTTATTTGCATACATGTATGTATGTATCGCTTGTTACACTATAAACTCTTTTGAGACAAAAATACTGTTCTTCATTTCTGTTTCCTCAGTACAGAACTTGGCACATAGCTGTCTATTTTAGTGTGCCACTGAATGAATGTTGAATCCTGGTTTATCTTTTTTCATCCTGAGCCTAAATTAAATCAGTGTAGTGGTTCTTCATTCTTGTTCATATGAATCACTCTTTAAACTTTAGAAAAATGTTGTTAAACATGTAAACAGAGGTTTCTCTGTCCCACCCTGACCCACTGCGGCTTCTAAATAATCACTCGAAGGCTTGATATTAATTACAAACTGCTTGGTCAAACAGCTCAGGCTTATTATGCCCTAGAAAATGTAAATATAAAATTAGTCAAATGCTGTGACACTGTTTGTACTTATGTTTTTGTTTGTTTGTTTGGTGGTGGTTAGGTTCAGCTGAGAGTTCCAAAGGAGACAAATGCTTGAAACCTTAATTTGAATTTTATCCAACTTGTAGGATAAAATTGTTTTCCCAATTGATAGGATGTTTTTGAAGAATGTGGTATTAAATAATTTCATATAGATTAAGTTTTCAGTATTGTATTGGGCTGGCTAGTTTTATATCAACTTGACACAGGCTAGAGTCATCAGAGAGGAGGGAGCCTCCATTGAGAAAAATGCCCCCCTGGGATTAGGATGTAGGTAAGTTTATAGAGCATTTTTTGGGGGGGGGGGGAGTGTTTCCAGGTAGGGCTTCTCTGTGTCTTTGGAGGCTGTCCTAGAACTAGCTCTTGTAGACCAGGCAGGTCTTGCATTCACAGAGATCCGCCTGCCTCTGCCTCCTGAGTGCTGGGATTAAAGGCGTGTGCCACTACCACCCAGCCACTAGAGCATTTTCTTAATTAGTGATTGATGGGGTAGGGCCTAGCCCACTGTGGGTGGTGCATCCCTGGGCTGGTAGCTCTGGGTTTTGTAAGAAAGCAGGCTGAGCAAACCATGAGGAGCAAAGTCAGTAAGCAGCATCCCTCTGTGACCCCTTAATAAGCTCCTACATCAAGGTTCCTGCCTGACTTCCGTCAATGATGAAGATGCTGAGAAAATGGAAACCAAATAATCCCTTCCTCCCCAAGTGGCTTTGGTCATGGTGTTTCATCACAGCAATAGAAACTGTGACATGGACCATTTCTATTGTATATTAGGAATATATTTAATAGTTTTTCTTAACAAATACAAGGAAAGCAAACTTTTGTATGTTAGTATGTGGTGAAGCCAATAAAGAATGAGGGCATAAAGTAACATTTAAGTCAGTGGTTCTCAACCTTCCCAGTGCTGTAACTCTTCAATACAATTCCTCATGTCGTGGTGACCCCAAACCACAAAATTATTTTCATTGCTTCTTCATACTTTTAATTTTGCTACTGTTATTAATTGTAATGTAAATAACTGTGTTTTCTAATGATCTCAGGTGACCCCTATGAAGGGGTTGTTTGGCCCCCAAAGTGGTTGTGACCCACATGTTGAGAGCCACTAATTTAGGGAACTATATTATCACAGTGTGCCTATACTGTCTGTTTAGCTCTCGTTGGCATGTTTTTGCCTGCAATGAAAAAAAAATTGAGATGTATCCTACTAGCCTATAAAAAGTTCTTTTGAGCATTTCACTATGGGTTAAGCCTAATTACCTTATAGCTCAATTTCGTGGTTATATCTAGAAAATTGCTATCCGTGACTCTAGTGTTCTGAGTATATTTTATTCTGAGTGTAGTTTTATGATGATGTTAAATGAATAATTATTGTAAGTTAATCAACACTAAATGCTTTTTACAAGTAATTATAACGTTTTTACTTTTTATGATAGATAAATTGTGAATACTACAGAGCTGAGAGTATATAGCTCAGTGATGGTGTTTGCCTAGCATGTTCCAGGCCTGAGTTCACACCTTGTTATATTTAATTTTTGTTTGTTTGCTTGTTTGTTTTTTTGAGACAGGGATTTCTCCAGGTGCTGGGATTAGAGGCAAGGGCCACCACTACCCAGCATGTTTAATTTTTACTAAATATTTTATTTTTTTTCTGTGTGTTGGAGTGCTTGTGTGGTCTGAGGGTAACTTTTAAGAGACTAGGGGATTGTCCTCTCCCTCAGCCATGTTGGTTCCAGGCACTAGGTTTGAAGGGAAGTGCTTTTACCCACCGAGGTCTCTTATTCTCCCCAGACATTATATGTTTTGTTTATTGTGGCTTTTGTTTTCATTCTCTCTCTCTCTCTCTCTCTCTCTCTCTCTCTCTCTCTCTCTCTCTCTCTCTCTCTCTCTCTCTCTCTCTCTCTCTCTCTCTCTCTCTCTCTCTCTCTCTCTCTCTCTCTCTCTCTCTCTCTCTCTCTCTCTCTCTCTCTCTCTCTCTCTCTCAAGAAGCATTTGCTAGATATGGAAGTATAATCTAACTCTAGGAGTGATTCAGGAGGATCAAGAGTTTGAGGGTAGTGTGAGCTCCCTTCTCTTTTAAAAATAAACATACAAGCAAGCAAGCAAACAAACCCCGAAAACAAGGATAAATATTTTCATCATTATAGTGGAGAGGTTCTTTTTTCTCTGGATGATTTAGAAAAAGGATAAGCTAAATGAAAATTATTTTTGAAGTATTTCCTCTAGGCTTTTGCTTGCAGGAAATTGTAAAATGCCTACAAAATGAATATACTCAGGACGTTATTTGTACAGTGGCCTGACATTTAACTAATCAGATTTGTCATTTTTAGGTAAATGTTAAGTTTTTTTAAGGAGTCTGGATGTATAACAGAAATGGCAAACATACTTTTATATGGGATGCTTTCCCAGCTGCACTTGTAATTGTCTTTTAACTTTGGAAATGAGACAGGTATTCTTAAATGAAATATGTAGAGAACCTGGGAAGACATTTGAACTTTTGCATTCAAAGTGAATGTTAGCCAAAGCTTAACTAACTGAACTAACTATGCAGGTCAAAGTTCAACTCTATTAACCACTTGTCCAGTTTGCAACTAAAGGCTTCTAATGCATTTAATTTAAAATCTAGCCATTTTAATTTCTAAAGTCAAAATAAGTGTATGAGTAACACTGGAATTTTTCAACATTCACATATATATATAAAACAAAGAAGTACACACACACACACACACAGAGAGAGAGAGAGAGAGAGAGAGAGAGAGAGAGAACTTCTTTGTAGCTCATGATCTTAATGAATTGCCAGTGTTTCTTTTGTCTCCTTTTAAGAAGTATGAAATCCTTGAGGTCCGATGTGTCTTCTTGGTTATCTAGAAAAGCATTTAATGTAATTAATTTATTTAAACAGGGCCTCTCAGATAAGTCTTGAACTCTTTGTAGCTGAAAATGGCTTTGAACTCCTGATTCTGGAATTGGATGCACGTGCTGCCACATTGGCCCTTGAAAAGGCTTGATCATAATGGCCATGTAATAATAACAATGGTAGCATAGTTTTATTAAGCTCCAACTGGTGCCAGGCCTCATCTGAGTATTTTATGTGAATATTCTAACAATCTTAGAGTAGTAAGAAGTGTTAGGTGCGTCCTCTCTGACTCTTTCTGGGAGGCCAAGATATCGAAGCGAGGACGTGGTGGGTCCTCCAGAGTGAAATTCCGGATTTCCCTGGGTCTTCTGGTAGGAGTTATGAACAACTGTGCTGACAATACAAGTGCCAAAAATTTGTATATTAGCTCTGTGAAGGGCATCAAGGGACTGCTGAAAAGACTTCTTGCTGCTGGCATGGGCGACATGGTGATGGCCACCGTTAAGAAAGGCAAACCAGAACTAAGGAAAAAGGTCCATCCAGCAGTGGTAATTCCACAACAAAAGTTATATTGAAGAAAAGATGGGGTGTTTCTTTATTTTGAAAACAATGCAGGGGTCATAATAAACAATAAAGGCAAAATGAAAGGTTCTGCTATCACAGGTCCAGTTGCAAAGGAATGTGCAGACTTGTGTCCCAGGATTGCATCCAATGCAGGCAGCATTGCATGATTCTCCAGTGTATTTGTAAAATATATTCATTAAAAATTAAAAAAAAGAAGTGTTAGATTCTATTACTACCCATTGTGCATTATTTTAGTTTATGATGATGGTGTATGTGTGTGTAAAAGTACCACTGTGTGTTTGTAGAGGTCTGAGAACACATTGGGAGTCAGTTCCCTGTGTCCACTGTGGATTTTGAGGGTTGTCTGACTTCCAAGGCTTTTACCCACAGAGCCATCAAAGGCTCTGTGTTACAGTTCTGAGAACTGGAAAGATTTATAACTTGCTCAATGCTTTGTGTACAGCCAGTCTGATTCTAAAGCACATATTTTTAATCACCTCACTGATAGAACATGATAGCAAATAACAAGAAGCCATTTTTCCCACCAAAGTATTAATTTGGTAATTAATGGTAAAAGCATTACTAGTCAGTACTTTGAAATATCTGAAGATGTTTTGACAGATGATCATTTCAAGGCACTATTGATCTTGCTTTAGTGTCTGGTGTGGGGAAGAGTGGAGAGTTAGATTTGCCTACTTTGTACACAGTGGGATTTAGTTCTTTCCATTCCGTTTTATGTTAGACAATGTGAATGGTGACCCGCCTTCATGCACTGGCATTTCAGAGGAACTTCCTGCAATGTGATATGCACTCGATCATGGATAATGATGTACTTAATCTCTGTACAAATGTGCTGACTGTTTGTCTCTTTTGATAGCTAATCTATGAGATAAGATTAACATTATTGCCAAAGAAAAATAGAACAGTTCTTTTGAAAGGACATTGTTGCAGATGGTTTATAAGTGATAATTTTGGAACAAAGTAATAGTAAGCAATTCTTGTCTTTGAGAACTAATGATAAAAGCTAGAATATAGTATATTTTTAGAATTAATATATAAAATTTTCCTTTGTTCTAATGCCTTTTATCCATTTCTTCCTTCCTATTCTTACTGATGAGTTTTGATATTATCTGGGGCCATTTATGCTTCTTATGTGTGTATATGTGCGAAACACTTTGATTTGGGTTATACTTTCTGTAAGGCACATATCCTAATAGTAAAAACCAATGATGAATTAGATAGTGTTTTTTCTTTTTGAACCATATTTTCCCATGTATATTTTCTTTTTTGTAGGTATCACGCTTATTGCTGTGGATGAGGCTCACTGTATTTCTGAGTGGGGCCATGATTTTAGAAGTTCATTCAGGACGCTGGGCTCTCTTAAGACAGCACTCCCATTGGTAAGCTTTGCTAGATCTGATGTCCCTACCCCTATACTAGCTGAGGATTGAGCCCAGGACTTCTACTGCTAAATTCAATCCTGCCCCCAGGTTTATGGTCTGCAAGTGACATATTTACCAAGTGCTTTCCAGGACTGGGTAATGTCTGAACAGCTAAAGACCGCTCTATAAAAGGAAGCACTTGTGGTTGGGGTACCCCTTATTCTCCTTAATAATGATCCATCATCATTTACTGGGATGAATGAATGAATTGTTGCCAGAAAGCTGGGAATTATTGAAGTAGCTTTCCCACATAGGCAGTTATAGTATACTGTGCTGATTTCAAAACAAATGATTTGAATGAGACAATTCTTACGTAGCTCATAGTCCAGTGAGGGAGTTGAGATCCACCGTCGGGAAAGCAGAAGCAGTAGAAACCAGGGATACATCATGCACAGAAGGCACAGGTAACATGGAAAGATGAATAGTGCAGTAGCACAGCAGCACATGGGAGGGCAGTGAAGGGGTTTCCACGATGCAGACGCTGCTCTGAAGGACCGGCTTCTACTAAGTTAGGGGGGCTTAATGAGATAGAGCTGTGCACTCGGAAAGTAGCAAGAGTGCTCTTGTAATCCTTTCCTAGGCCCTTGATTCTAGGATTGTGTCAAAGGAGTTTAAAGATTTTAAACAGCTCTTGAGTAGTCTTCAGATGGAATGAAATCTTTTATTATGTCTAGCTCTGGACATAATGAGATCATTTTCTGTTCTTCCAGTGAGTAGGCGGCATATTCCTGCAGTTGAGGGGCTGAGGAGCTTTCCCTCTGGGTTTTTAAGAACTTCTCTGTTAGAAAGTGGTAAGGGGCAAACTCGGTGGTGGTGGTGGTGCACACCTTTAATCCCAGCACTTAGGAGGCAGAGGCAAAGGCAGGTGGATCTCTGTGAGTTTGAGGCTAGCCTGGTCTACAGAGCTAGTTCTAGGACAGCCAGGACTGTTTCACAGAGAAGCCCTGTCTCAAAAAACACAACAAACAAACAAAAAAAGAAAGTGGCAGGAAATGCCACCTGCTGGCTATCAGTTTTCTCATATCATTCATTGGTCTTGCGTTCTGAACCATGGCACTGGGATTACTGTTGTGAACCTGGATGCATTACACCAAATTATTGTAGTAAGCCCAAAAATGCTAGAAACCACCGAACAGTTGACATAAAAAGCCTGTTTGGAGGGAATCATGAAAGTGAGTCCAGAGAAGCAACAGCAGGTGAAAACTCTGCATATCCTTCAAAATGTGTCTCCAACCAGGAGGAAGTAATTTTGAAGTCCGTGAGACAACATTGGCTCATCCCATTACTTTGTCCCAAGGACCCATTAAGAGGATCAGCACACAGTAGACACTGAGTAACTGGGACGAGAGAACAAATAACTAAAATCTGTGTGTATTTTACAGAGTGTGAATTAGTCAGTCACATGATCCAGTTTGGAAATAGAATAGCATATTTTCAGCCTTTCTGTCATGAATCTACCTAAATGTATAGTGCCATAAGATTAATATGCACTGTATTATATTTTGTTGCTTATTTTACCAAAAATTAGTGCAGACACACTGACCATGGCAACTCTTATAAAGGAAAACCTTTCACTGTGACTGGCTTACAGTTTGGAGGTTTAGTCCACTGTCATCATAGCAGGAAGCTATTTCTTAGTGCTGAGGATCAAACCCAGGGCTAAGCTACCATTCTCCTACTAAGCTATACACTCGGCCGTTTAACTGTTCCTTTCTGTGTGTGACTGAAAATAAGCTTTATTTTTGTAAGCTCACAAAAATTAAGTAATTCTTGAAGCATTGTCTGAATCTATAGTATTTTTACTGGAACATTTATTTTATATTTAACATTTTTGTCTTTATTAATTTATATTGTTTGAAATAATGAGTTCATTATATCTCCATAACATATTTAATGAACTTTGGTTATATTCATTCCACAAGAAATTATATTTTGTTTTAATTTTAAGTCAAATTATGTACATATTTCTTTGCAAATTGGCAGACTGCACATGCATTTATACATAACTACAAGATTAAATGTTTAAATTGGTTTGTGAGGTAGTCAAAATAGATTTGAGTAACTAATTTTATCAAGATATTGTTTCCTCTATTTACAACAAGTAAAAAACATTTTTAAAGAAAATTATATTCTTACCAATTGAATGGCTAATGGTTTAGAAATAAATTTTAAGACAACCCTTTTTTTCTGATAATGAAATGGTACCATGGTTGAATGTAATTCCCATTATAATAGTGATAAAACATGCAACATTTATATGGGAGGTATTTTGCTTACTTACCTTTGAATTTCTGAAAGAAATACTAATGTATTTCCTGCTGCATACTGTTCCTCTTGATTTTGCTGCTCACCATATAAAGAATTACTAGACTGAAAATAGAATATGACTTGGTGTGTTGAGGATTCGGTTAGTAGTACATGTTTCACTTCCTACATATTTGTTATAACAGTATGGCATTGATAATTCAGCGAAACTGAAGAGGGGTTGTCAAGGCTGTTGAGAGCATTGCTTCTACAGCTGAGAAACTGTATGCCAGTATACTTTGTGACAAAACCGCCTCACCAAAGCAAAGAGGAATTGTTTTATGTAGCTAGGTAATTAAATTACAACCCTGCCAAGGTTTAATTGAATTATAGGTTATTAAAAAATATATAATCCATGCTTCTATCAGCACAAAAGTATAGATGACTAATAAGTAGTTTTAATTTAATGGAACAAGATAAATTGCATTGAAATCTTATGGATTTCCTGTTTGATTTACTAAGTACGAGATAATTTTTCTCTTTTAAAAGCATCCCTCAGTGATAGAGTACTGCTACACCACACCCAAGATGATCCTGGGTTCCATCCCCAACACAGTAAAAAGAAATGAATATTGAAATAAATAAACAAAAGAATAACGTGAAAATCTTGGACATAGTTCCCATGTTGCCATGACTGTTGGTTTGTGAGAAGACAGTGAGAATCAATGAGCTTCCTGCCATTTTAAAATCCATTTATATTGTGTTTACTCAGGTTCCAGTCATCGCACTCTCTGCTACAGCAAGTTCTTCGATCCGGGAAGATATTATACGTTGCTTAAATCTGAAAAACCCTCAGGTCACCTGTACTGGATTTGATCGACCAAATCTGTACTTAGAAGTTGGACGAAAAACAGGGAACATCCTTCAGGATCTAAAGCCTTTTCTTGTTCAAAAGTCAAGGTAAAGATATAATGACAGATGCAATTCTTCTTAATGAAGTTATTTAATTTTTTTCTATTTCTTTTTATATGTTTACTGTTGCAAATTTTACAGAGCTTTGGTTCAAGTTAAGTGTAATACGACATGATCAATTCAGTGGCCTAGTTTAAAGGACATTTAAAAGTATTTTTTATTAATTCTTTGAGGATTTCATATAACATAGTTTGATCATGATTACCCTTTATCATTTCCCCAACTCCTCCCAGATCCAGTCATCTCTCTACTGTTCCCTAACTTCACAACTTCTTTCTTTTTTTAAAAAATTGCATCAATTCTCATTGGTGCTGTCTATATAATCCTAGGTAGTGGACCATTCGCAGGTGTATGGACAGCTAGTCAGGACCCTTGAAGAAAACTAACCCTCCCTCTGTAAGATGCTCTTGAGTATCTATAGTGCCTCAGTTCTGGGTGGGGCTCACAGAGCCCTTGTCCCATCAAATTAGAGTGCTGAGTGACTAGGACCTGTGCAAACAACCACAGCTACTCTGAGTTCATGGGTGCAGTGGTCCTGTCATGTCCAGGAGACACTGTGTCACCATTGGCTTTTACAGTCCTTTTCTCCACTCTTCCACGATGCTCAAAGCATATATATTTTGTGGGAGGCAGAGGGATAGTTGGGCAGGAACTAATTTTTTTTTTGCTTTGTTTTTTGGTTTTTTGATTTTTTTTTTAGACAGGGTTTCTTTGCATAGCTTTGGAGCCTGCCCTGGAACACACTCAGTTGACCAGACTGGCCTCAGACTCACAGAGATCTACTTGCTTCTGCCTCCCAATGCTGGGATTAAAGGCATACGCCACTACTGTCTGGCTTGGAACTAATTCTGTTGCTATTGTGTTTATTTTATACTATTATTTGAATAGGGTGTGTGCTTTTAATAATTTACAAGTAAATGGATATAAGATATGAACCTTTCTTATGAGTTATATCTACTTACTAATTACATGACCCACCTCTGTTGTAGAGATTTTTTTTATAGTCCACATGGAGTCTGTAGAGTTCCAAGGACTGTCCTAGGTGCTTTATACACATGGGCTGGGCAATCCTCTAACTGATGAGGAAGCTACCTGTGTCTCTATTTTACTCATGAAACTGCTCATTGTACTTGTAAGATTTGTTTTGCTAAGTATATTTTACATGTTTTAGTTTGTATGCTTTATAATGCCATATACTCTGACCTGCCTACTGAATGCATAGTTGCTGTTTTCATGATATAAAGTAGTCTGAATAAAGTAAAATAATTTTCTCCTACCAGTACAAACACAAAAACAAATCAGATGAGTAAGTACTTAGAGAACTATGTAGTCTGAATAAAGTAAAATAATTTTCTCCTACCAGTACAAACACAAAAACAAATCAGATGAGTAAGAATTTAGAAAACTGTGTAGTCTGAATAAAGTAAAATAATTTTCTCCTACCAGTACAACACAAAACAAATCAGATGAGTAAGAACTTAGAGAACTGTTAGTGTTCTCACTTCCAGAAAGGAAAAAAGTCGAAAGACAGACCTGAGGTAAGGAAGCACTGGTTCATGTGGATCTTAAAGAATAATTTAAGTAACAATTAAGCTGTTCTTGTTATTCAGAATAGAATAGGATATCATAGTGTCTTGCTACTCTAGCGTCTCCTTGAATACATTGTATTACACTGTCCTTTTATAGCAAAGGGACAAGTTCTCTTGTCAGAGGCTTATTTAAACTGGGCATTTCTACAGTCATCTCACTCCCTACCCACTAATCTCTGGTCCTGTTTCAGTATACATTATTCTTAATACCTATGGCTATTTCTCCTTATAGTTAGTGATCCTCTCACTTTTTTTTTTTTTTTTTTTTTTTTTTGGTTTTTTTGAGACAGGGTTTCTCTGTGGCTTTGGAGGCTGTCCTGGAACTCGCTTGGTAGTCCAGGCTGGTCTCGAACTTACAGAGACCCACCTGCCTCTGCCTCCCATCCTCTCACTTCTTAAAGATACATTTTTTAGAGGTACCTTCCCCCATCTTTTGTGATGTTGCATTTTTGCATTTTTCTGGCTCTGTCTGCCTTACAAAATCTTATGCAAATGCTTTCTTCTCATTTTTATGTTAATTCTGCTAATTGAAATCAGTTTTTAGCCCAGACTATTATAATCTTTCCTAACACACCACCTACTTCCTTGTTGCTACTTCATGTATTCTGTAGATAATTTTCAGGTTTGTCATCTACAGACACATCCTTAAACCTCGGAGTAATATTTTATCTTAAAACTCGTGTAATATTGCATACAACAATGAAACTGCTCAGCTACCTCTTTAAGTAAAGACTAACATACTGTACTGCCTTTCTTGACGTATTTATAGCCACACCTCATGAGTTTTAAAATCAGGTTTCCTTCTGAAACAACCAGATTACTGATTTTAACTCTAATTTGAGCCAGTCTTAAATGCCAGAGTTTTGAGCTCACATGATCAGTTTCCGTGTTTGTCTGTCCACAATGTTTGAGTTTCAGAGAGCTCCAGTGCTGGCCTTTTGGTCTGCTGACTCCTTAAGGGCTTAGGAGAAAGCAAAGATTGTGCAGAATAAAACTCAAACCACTCTGAAGCATGTAATAGATGTGTTTGCCGTCTCTGTCCCCGCCCTCTCCACAGTTCTGCCTGGGAATTTGAAGGTCCTACTATCATCTACTGTCCTTCCAGAAAAATGACAGAACAAGTTACTGCTGAACTTGGGAAACTGAATGTGTCCTGCAGAGCATACCATGCAGGCATGGACATTAACAAAAGGAAAGATGTTCACCATTGGTTCCTTAGAGATGAGATTCAGGTATGAGGACCAACCATCTTTCTCTGAATTCTCCATAGAAAATAAAAGTGGCCATCAAATATTTATTCACCAGTTTTTTCAAAGCCTACCTCCTCCAACAAAGCACACCAGCTAATAGTATATTTACTCTGATAAGAGTAATCCTTATATAGTGAAAATAGGCATAATAAACCATACAGTTTAGTGTAAATAGCAAATTGTACCTGTTACTGAGCAACACAGCAGAGGAACACTAGCTCTGGCAAAGTAGGTTTTTATACTGAGAGTGGCTGTCTAGGAAGTTGAAACCTGAGGAGAGCCTAAGTGTGTCAAGTTTACCGGCTCAGTAGGTAATGAGGGCAAAGGCATTGGTTGCAGAAGCCCAGGAAGGAACAGCAGGTGCAGAGATACTGTCATGTGAGTGTATACTGGGTTCAGAGAAGGAGTAGTTTGGAGTGGATAGGGGAGAAGATGAGTGGTAGGAATGGCATGGTGGTGTTGGGGATGAGGAAAGTGTAAACTAGCAGGAAGTTTGAGTTGGGTGGTTGGCCAGCTTTGAGATGAGAAGGAGCAGTGGGTATAGGACTTGCCTCCCAGCCTGAAAGCATCGATTCCTGTCCTTCCTATTCTTTCCAATGGTAGGAGTAGCTCTTATGCTTGTTTATAGATTCTTGTACACATTCATTAAGATGTGTATTATTCCAGGGATAGGGCATTTTGTTGGGTATATCTGGCTTACTGTCTGTCTTAGTTACTCTTCTGTTACTGTGCTAAGATACATGACCAAGTCAACTTACAGGAGAACCAGATTACTGAGGGCTTACAGTTTCAGAGCTTGAGTCTGTGATCATTGTGGTGGAAAGCATGGCAGCAAGCAGGAAGGCATGATAGTGGAGCAGTGGCTGAGAGCTCACATCTTGATCCATACGCACCAGGCAGAGAGAGCTAACTGGAATGAAACCTCAAATCCTGCCTCCAAGCCTACCTTTTTCAACAAAACCACATCACCTAACTCTTTGCAAACAGTTCTACCACCTGGGGTCAGTATTCAATATGAACCTACGAGGGCCATTCTCATTCAAACCACCACGCTGCCAATGTATAACTTGATTGAAGTATTAATATTTTAAAAGATGGTCCTTTCTAGTGTAGAAAGTCACTCATTTGAGTCCAACTTATAAAAATTAAAGTTTATATCAATAATTGCATTCTAGTTAACATCAGGTTGTTTTGTGTCTAACAGCTGGTCCTATAGAATCCTTCCTGGCTATTACTCAAAAGCTTCACATGTGTTTCAAAACCTTTCTCTTTCTTTTTTTTTTTTTTTTTTTTTTTGGTTTTACGAGACAAGGTTTCTCTGTATTGTTTTGGAGGCTGTCGGTCCAGCCTGGCCTCGAACTCACAGAGATCCGCCTGCCTCTGCCTCCCGAGTGCTGGGATTAAAGGCGTGCACCACCGCCGCCCGGCTACCTTTCTCTTTCTTAACATAGAGAAATACATATTATCATTTGTATACAATTTTCAGGGACTCTTAGAATTGATTACTTTCCATTGAGTGTTTATTGAGTTACTACTGAATTCATCAATGTAACGATTTGTAAATAGTCATTTCTGGCATTTTTCAATTGATTTCTCTTTTATGGAAGCCACAAAAGCTGACCTTTGTAGTTCTTCATATGTTTACCTGATGCTTGAGACCTTTTACTATTTGAAAATTTTAGAAAAAATAAATATTTCTCTATGAATTATATTCAAGTCAAATCACAAGTGTATCTAGATTTCCATTATTTTTGTCATTGTTTATTTGCAAATTTTATCTCAACCTTTAGTTTTGTCCTTCCTATATTTTAAGATACCTTTAATTGAATGAAATTATTACTAGCATATTTGGTAAAATAACTTTAATTTATACCTGAAAGCTTTTGGGGGTAGTGTGAAAATCTGGTTAGTGGGATAGTCAACATCAAGAGAACAAATAATCTGGGTAAGATTAGAATAATATGGCTTATTAACTACTAGCTGTGTCAAACTTGTTTTCTTTACCCAAAGCTTTCACTTTCTACATTTGTGCCTTTATTACCATTTTCTCATCCTTATTTTTCATGTATTCTTCCTTCTATACTTTCTGTCATTCTCCTGGCCCATCCTAGAACACATGTTTTCAACAACACTCTAGTTTTATGTATACATGCAGATACTTCTGTTGTGTCTTCAATGAGATGTCTTCTCCCATCCCCTCTCCCAATCCTTCCCACTGACTCTGTAGGTGTTTACTGCTCTATCTTGACATAATTTGCTTACATTGCTATCTTAATTTGTTGCTACATTTTTTGCTTATTGTTTTGTATTCTTGTTATTAAAGATTTTTATTTTCCATATATTCATTACTAATATTCCATGACTTTTTTCCCAACTATGTAAATGCTTTTTTAGTAGGTTCATTCATATTAGGTTTGATAGTTTTATCTTCTTGGTATTGTACCCATCTTAAAGATGTAGCATTAACTGCATTTCACTGTGCAGGCGTGAATGATGTAATTCTTAGAATAAGGCATTCTGTTATCAGGTGAGGACACTTGAAGCTTTGTAATAATATAAAAGGTATATTTACTATAGTAACTGTTTCTCATAGCTGCAGGTATCTAGAGAAACTGTTTTGTTGGCTGCTTTTTACAGAGATGAACAGAAATCGCTCTTTATGGCTACTAACCTTATCTGTATTTGGATAGATGATCTTTTAGTCTGTAAGTGATTGGTTGAATTTATATTGAATTCAGTTTTATGTCAGTGAACAAGTTATTGTTTTATTTTTTAAGTTTTAGTTATACTGAAATGTGACTTTCACTGTGTTATTGTTTATTCTCAGTGTGTTGTAGCTACTATAGCTTTTGGAATGGGCATTAATAAAGCTGACATTCGCAGAGTTATTCATTATGGTGCTCCAAAGGAAATGGAATCCTATTACCAGGAAATCGGTAGAGCTGGCCGAGATGGACTTCAGAGTTCTTGTCACTTACTCTGGGCTCCAGCAGACTTTAACTTAACTAGGTAAAAATGCTTATTGCTTTCAGCTTACAAATTTCTTTTCCCTTTCCAATAAAGTATTGGAGGTCATGTCCAAAATTTTAGGTGTCCTGTGAGTGTATTCAAAGGGGTCACAACCAAAAAGTGAGTAAAACTAACTGAACATTCATGGAAAGCATTTGTGGTAAGTCTTGTCACACAGGAGATGATCCACTTCTACCAACATCCAGTTAGTATGAAGAACTAACGAGGTCAGGACTCTCCTTGGACTATCTCCATAGGTCTTATGGGATACTGTCCTGTTGTACAGTGGTGAGTAGTTCTCACCCTTTAAATCCTCATTTTATTTAGTTAGATGCCATGTATTTTGTTAAGTTTTCTAGTGCTATAATGGTGCTTATTTTAAAACATGTGTTCAATTCTTCTTTGACTTTCTTGTTTCCATGGTTGGTTTCATAAGTGCATGCCATTGCTCATAGACTGTGAAAATTGCCTTGTTGACTATGCATGGATAATCATGTCACAGTGTATTGACAGGGTGATGTCATAAAACAGTAGATGTTCACTGTTTAAATTCAAGAAAAGGAAAACTATTTAAGTACTAAGTAAGTTGCCACTTAAGTTCTGTCAGATTATATTTGAAAGAACAGCTTCAACCTGCAAAATCTTAGGGCCAATATTTACTTGTTTATCTATAGGGAGCCAGGGGAAGAAGCCAGTACAACTCAACCAGTGAGCCTGGAACATAAGGGAGTTTTCAAATATTTTTCCAGGTTGATGAGTAAGTTAGGATCTTCTTGGTTCTTAGTGGACATATTGCTTCATTTTAGTAAAATGAGTATTGAACCTACCCAGGGCGGGTATTGCTCATCTTCATCGTTCCTCAAGATGTTGAGTGAGCACCATGTTCTAAGAGCTGAGCTTAATGCCAAGGATACAAAGCTAAATAAAAGCAGACATGATGCCTGCCTCTGTAGGACTCCCTCTAGGTGGAATGGGAGATCATAACTAGAGAACTGTGTATGTATGCATGTATAGCATTCTTTTTACTATTCTCATTTTGCATTTGGAAATGCCAATTATTAATTTTTAAGATCATATAAATATATGTTTGTTCTTGTTTGTTTGTTTTATGAGAGTCCCATTCTGTAGCATTGGTTGGTATAGAATGTAGACCAAGCTGGCCTTGAAGTCACAAACATCCCTCTGCCTCTGGAATGCTGAAATTAAAGGTGTGTGCTACCGTCTCTGACCCAAATATGTTTGATAAATGTTATGTGTTATGCTATGAAAGAAAGTTTCTTAGAGTAGAGAATGCTGTTTTCCAGCTTGAAAAGTCAGGTAAGACTTCCCTGAAGAAATGGTAGCTAAAAAGAGTTGTATTAGGTAAGTAAAGGTTTGTGATAAAATATAAGGTCTTCTAGGAATAGTCAGTATATTTTACTTTGTAACATGTAGAGCTGAACTCTGGTCTCCTGTAAGCAAGCATTCTTTACCACTGAGCCGTCCTTCCAGCCCAGACATCTCTGTCTTTATCAAGCCTTTTTGAAACTAAGTTAGATAGAACACATCTATGCAAGCTACTATTAAATTTGGAATATATCAAATGTCAGTTGGTTAATACCAGATCTTATTTTATTTGTGCGTTATGATAACATGCTGGAAATGTTTATAGGCCTGAGTTTTCTAAGGGAAGCTCATCAGTAGTTACAGTTCTGGTTTACGTAGGTTTGAAATAGAATGCTAAGGTTTATCTCATTAAGGTTGATGAGGAAGTAATAGTAGTGCCAGAACACTGATACAGTTGTCACATATTATCCACAGGTATTCATCTAGGACCCTCAAGATACCAAAAATCCCACCATGTTCAAGTCTCGTGTACAAAACAGCACAGTATTTGGAGTGCTAAGCTGTCCTTTGAAAAGCCAGGGGGATAAAGGTTCATACTAGAGTGATGAGCCTCTTTTGGTGATCCTTACATAGGTGCTTTAACTTTCTCATAAAATATCAATAAAAATAAAAGAGAAACTTCCTGTGAAAAGCTCAGGATCCATGTGTTCGAAAGCTGTCTGTAAATCAGACTGAAAGCCTTCAAAGTCATTGATGAAATTCTCTCATCAGGGGCATGACTGGGAAGCATACAGGCCATTTCTAGGGGGATAGAAATATCCTTTACTGTGAGGCAGTAAGGGATTTTGTGGCTTATAAAAAAACTGACAGTATAATTTTAAATATCCTTGGCATTTTCAATTTTCAGGCATCACTTTCTTGAGATACACAACGAAAAGTTCCGACTACATAAACTAAAGATGATGGCAAAAATGGAAAAATACCTTCATTCCAGTCGATGCAGGCGACAGTATGTATTATAGTACCTTTTAAAAGTTAATTAAAGATATTTTTAAAGACTATTTGCCGTATGCATACTGACTTTTAGGGCAGTTATTTGTGTTTAAATAAATTAATATGAAGTAATGCGGTCCCACATAAGCGCAGCAATGATGGTATTAACCTCATTCTGGGTGGTGGGGTTTAATATGTCCATTTTTGTTCTTTAATTTAAAATGTTCTCTTTGTCAGAATCATCTTGTCCCATTTTGAGGACAAACGACTACAGAAGGCCTCCTTGGACATTATGGGGACTGAAAAATGCTGTGATAATTGCAGGCCCAGGTAAAAATTTCTTCTGGGTGGACATTATAGAAACTATAGTTTTTCTTTTTTCTGAATCATGTTTCATTACATTTTTATTGGCTAATAAGTAGTTTAGTTTTTTTAATTTTAATTTTAAATAGCTTGCTTCACATGTCAATCCCAGTTCCCTCTCCCTCTCCTCCTGCTCTCCCCCACCAGCTCCCCCAGCCTCCCACCCTATCACCACTTCCTTCCACATAGGGGATATCTAGAGTCTGTCATTTCACTCAGGGCAGGGTCCAGGTACTCCCCTAAGAGTCCAGGCTGAGAGAGCATCCCTCTTTGTGTTATGGACACAGGAAATCCATTTGTATGCCAGGGAAAAACACTGATCCACTGCTCAGGGTCCCATAGGTTGCTCAGGCCTCCTCACTGACTCTCACACTCAGGGGGTCTGGATCAGTCCCATGCCAGCCTCCCAGTCATCGGTCTGGGGTCCAAGCGCTCTCCACTGTTCAGATCAGCTGTCTCTGCTGGTTTTGCCAGCCCATTCTTTGCCAATTTGCTCATCGCTCCTCTCTCTCTGTCATTGGGTTCCATGGGTTCAGTTCAGTGTTTAACGGTGGGTGTTTGCCTCTGCTTCCATCAGTCACTGGATGAAGGCTCCAGGATGGTTATAGACATCAAGTTCATTATCAGGAATGGGCATTCGAGGTGGTCTCTCCACTATAGCTTAGCTTGCCAATTGGTGTCATCCGTTTAGATCACTAGAGGTCTCACTGGTGCCAGATCTGTCTTCCAACCTATGATTTCCTCTTCCCCCTATCCTACTCCCCACTCAACCTTCCTGTTCCCTCATGACCTACTCTGTCTTCCTTTTCACCCCCTCTCCTTCCCAGCTCCCATTCCCCACCATGCCTCGCCATGTTCCCAATCTGTTCAGAAGATCTTGCCTCATTCCTCTTCTCTTGGATACCATGCATATCTCTCTTAGATTCTTTCCTGTTTCCCAGACTCTCTGTCAGTGGAATTTCAGACTGGCACTATCCTGATCCATGTTTAAAATCCATATATGAGTGAGTACATACCATGTTTGTCTTTTTGCGACTGGGTTACCTCACTCAGGATGGTTTCTTCCAGTGCTATCCATTTACCTGTGAATTTCAAGATCCCATTGTTTTTATCTGCTGAATAATACTCCATTGTGTAAATGTACCACATTTTCTCTATCCACTCTTCAGTTGAGGGGCATCTAGGTTGCTTCCAGGTTCTGGCTATTATAAATAATGCTGCTATGAACATAGTAGAGCAGATGTCCTTGTTGTATGAGTTTGCATCTTTTGGATATATGCCTAAGAGTAGAATTGCTGGGTCTTGTGATAGATTGATTCCCATTTTCCTGAGGAATCTCCGTACTGATTTCCAAAGTGGCTGTAGGAGTTGGCACTTCCACCAGCAGTGGAGGAGTGTTCCCCTCTCTCCACATCCTCTCCAGCATAAATTGTCTTCAGTATTTTTGATTTTAGCCATTCTGATGGGAGTAAGATGGTATCTCAAAATTTTGATTTGCATTTCCCTGATGGCTAAGGATGTTGAGCACTTTCTTAAGTGTCTCTTGGCCATTTTAGCCTCCTCTATTGAGAATTCTCTATTTAGTTCTGTACCCCAGTTTTTAATTGTATCCTCTGTCAGATGTGGGGCTAGTGAATATCTTTTCCCATTCCGTGGACTGCCTTTTTGTCTTGTTGACTGTGTCCTTTGCCTTACAGAAGCTTCTTAGTTTCAGGAGGTCCCATTTGTTAATTGTTGATCTCAGTGTCTGTGCTACTGGTGTTAGGTAGCACATGCCTACAGAGAGGGCAATTATTGAGCATGATTTATGTACTTAAAGCCATATGATCATAAGTAGTATTCACATCTACAAAATACTTTTGCTGTGGCATCTAATTTATTGTCTGGCCAAACAACTGGGTCCCCCATAGTGTAGCCTCTTTGACACACTAACCATTCAACCCTGAAGACATAATCTCAAATGTGCACAGACTTCACATAAGAACCTACAGAGTCAAAAGGGGGAACAGAAACCCACAAGTGTATTTGGTGACATCAACACCTGCTTACAAGCCATTAATAGAATTAATAAACAAAAATGGGTAAGGAGTGTCAAGAGTGATGGGCATGCCTGTTACCGCAGGACTCAGAGGTTTGGACAGGAAGACCAAGAGTCTGAGGCCAGCCTGCCCAACAAGTGACTTCAAGATGAACCTAGATTCTATAGGGAGACTGTGCTGAAATATACTGAGAACAAAAGCAAAAGCAATACTCAAAACAACCATGTCCCACTCCCAAAGCCCCCAAACTAAACCCTACTAAATTCATGAGGAGACAGAAGAAATGAAGAGGTCTACCAGCAACCCAGTCCTAATTGATTTCTTAAGAGCATTTCACCCATTCTCTTCAAGGGCACTTGTATTTTCCTCTGAATCATCAACAAATCTTGACAAATGAAGAAATACTCAATTTGGATAAAATGTTCTTTAATGTAGTCAAGCTAGAAAGCAGCAGTGGAAAGAAAAGGGAACTCTCCAAACCCTTAGAAATAAAACAGTATACTTCTAAATAGTTTGTGAGTCAAAGTCATGCAGCAAATGAAAACGTTTTAATAAGAATAAGAAATGTCTGGAATGTAGCTAGTATGGTTCTGCCAAAAAGAATTTATAGTATTAAACACAACATTAAGGAGTATACATTTCAAACAAATAGCTAAGCATTCATTTTACAAAATAGGCAACCAAGAGGAAAATAAGCAGGAAGAATGTATTAAAAAATAAGTACATAATTCAGTGAAATAAAAAACAAAAGTAATGAGGAAATTCAGTGATCCCCAAAGTTCATTATTTGCAAAAGTCAAAAAAACAAAACAAAAACAACAAAACCTTTTTACAAGACTGACAGAAAAAAGGGGAACACAGATTATCAATGTCAAAGTGAAAGAATTTTACTGCAAACCCACTAGTCATGGTGACAAAGTCAGAGGGAACAAAGAGAACTCTCTGAACAAATCAGTTTACGGAAACTCAGTAATACAGGTCTCATGGTCAAATTTCTTAATGTCCTCTAGTTGTCAGTGTTCAGGCACAGGGAAACACAACCGGGACGCTCGTCTGCTCACTGTAAGGATTGAAGTTTTCCCTTAAAGCCCCTGAAACAAGCTCTCTAGCCCACATGACTTCAGTGACAAATTCTAGCAAACATTTAAATGAAGAAACAGCCCCGTTCTACAGGGTGGTTCCACGTGCATATTCTTTGAAAGACAAGCCATAAGGAGGCTCAGCAGCTGGCAGAGGCTAAAGGCCGGGAGAATGCATTTGACAGGGATGCATTTGTTGGGTCCTGATTGTGACCAAGGTTTGATGAATCCGCACATTGGGCTATGCACAGTCTATTATACTATAAAGAAAATAAACACAATGGTACCTCTTTGAGTTAGTTGTGTCCCTAGGTGCAGTAGCTAAACTCAGAAGCAGCATTGTTAGCAATAGAATTTTAAAAACTTCTAGAAGCTAGTGATAACCAGAGTAGCATATATTTAAAGTGGTAAGATAAAGTATGGGTCACACTTTATGGGAACTTGATAACTTTAAATACTCTGAAGAGAAAGTCATATAGCATCCTACTAAGGAAGTAAATAAGAGAGTAAACCTACACAGGGTCTTTTCTTTTTTAAATACAAATAGAATGTTTTTATCTGGAATTTTAACTGCATTCCTATTGCTATTTTAAAGAGATGTGTTATATGGAAAGTAGTTGAATTTGGTAATTAAATGCAATAGTTGATAATCTCTAAGGATTTCTTTTGTTCTCAAGTTAAACAATTCTTATTTGCATTAATAGTAATTTTGCATCAACCCAGAAGATAACTAAGGAATTTAACTGCTAAATGTACCACCATGACAAGTTTATAAACTCCCATGTTGTATTTTAAAATTACTACGTTTCAAACTGACATGTTACTGCATAGCAGGTTTTTAAGTTAAAAACTTTTTTTCATTTGCGTCCTTTCTCGTGTAATGTAACACAAACGTCCAGTATTTATATAGTTGATCATGTGGAGCTGCCCTCGCTGGGATCCTGCAGCTCTGCCTCTGAGTGCCTCCATGAAACTTGACTTCTGGGTACGGGAAGGCACTGTATGGGAGGTGCATTGTGGTTCCTATCTCATGTTTTAGGTAATGCACATGCTCTTGATTGTAGTATGCTTTGTTTGTAGCTTCACAAGCGTCGAATGTATTCAAGATATTCCTAACATAGTTCGTTGTTGTATCTGGTTATTTGTAAAGGAACAAGCTTTGTGTTTTCTTAGTCTGTTATTACTTTTCTTCAGATTGAGTCATTGCTATTCCAATAATGACTCAGAAGACACATTCCAAGACTTTGGTCCACAAGCATTCCAGTTACTGTCTGCTGTGGACATCTTACAGGAGAAGTTTGGAATTGGGATTCCTATTTTATTTCTCCGAGGATCTGTAAGTGTATCTATAATGACTCCTGTGACAGTTTGTGACAGTGCTTTCTGCTGCTGTGACGACAGCTCTGGCTTTAGATGATTTACTGGCAATTCAGAGTCATGTTGAGCTCCAGCTTAACCCTGCATTTGTTGCTTTGGACAAATCTCATATCACATCAGATGCTGTTTTGTTGTTGTAAGCTGGTGTTCAGCTGTACACTGCAGACTGGATATAATGTATTAGCTTACCACACTGCAATTGCATTAATCCCTAGACTGGTGTTTCTTAGGATAATTAAAGAAAGTTAACTTTCATTGTGTCAAGGGACTGGTAGAACAAAATTGTATCTTCTGGTACCCAGGTATGATTATGTTCTTTGTGCAGAATTTTAGTTTCAGGAATTATTTTGTAAGTGGCTGTGTTCAGTAACAGTATATGGCAGCATATTCTTGCTTCTGATTGTGTTACAAGTCAGAAGTATTCAACATTATAAGAAAGGGTTTTTGTTTATTTTGGTTCTTTACAAGTGAATAGCCGAGTTTAATTGACCTCTTTCTGTTTTGAGTGATTCATGTATCCTCATTAGCTGGCAAATGTCAGGCACAAACATGCTTAAGACCCAATCCTCACCCTTACAGAGTTGCTTTTCTCTAGTCCTTCTGTTTATAAGGTTATTTTACTTCTGAGGTAGAAGTCTGTAAATTTAAGAATTGTATATTAATATCACTGAAGTAAACCAAGAATAGAAGGCAGAGATACCTCCTGATTAAAAACATACTTTATAGTAGAAGTTTAATGTTCATTTTGTATATAGAATTTTAAAATCATTAAGATAAACATTTGCTTGTTAAATATTCAAATGCTTCCTGTAAATGTTTTTGCTTTTGCTTAGAAAGTAATCTATGGAATTAGTTGTGAAATAATTTTAATGAAACACATTGAAAACTTATTTTACCTTTTCAAATGTTAATACTTTCAACATAAATGGGGTTTAAAATTTTGGTTTTAAATGGCAAATTTGCTTAAATTTTTAACAATACAAATGTACCTAAGGAATTTTTATTTTTATCAGTTCTGTAGGACAGCTCAAATATAGTTGAAGCCTATACATTTATTTTATATCTTTGTCACCTTCCAAACCTGTGTATCCAATGTGAGTATTTAATTTATAAAACCCATCCTTATTTTAATTTGGTGTAATCCAGCTATATCCAATATCAATAAATAAGTTTGTTTCTAGACAAACTTCAAGTGGTCACAAGAGGGATCGGGTTTCACTTATTATTTGAAAACCAAGTCAGACCTCTTCTACTGACAGTGTCTTCTGGGAGTCCTCAAATTAAGCAGCTCACCCTTAGTGAAACTTTATACTACCCTTGCTAGCTAAAAGTGTAAAGCCTTTAAAAATATCACTTAATGGAAAGCTGCAGATACTAACGATAGTGAAAATAAGGCAAGTCACCTGTCTCTGCTTTCAGTGATCTTGATATCTATTGGGATATTGTTGAAAAATTATAACTGTAATTCTCTCGAGAACTGAACAAGTTGTACCAATTTAGGAAAAGTTAATACCTTTGTAGGTAATTTTAATATGTAAGATAATATATGAAGCCAATATTAGAGTTATATTAAAGAGTTGCTGTTTATGAATATAAATATGGTTTCTGTAGAGTTACTCAGTTTATCCATAAATTTGTAAAGTGGAGTTTAAATTTTTGTTTTAATATGTCTAAATAGGAAGTAACCAGTATTGCCTAGAGAACTTTGTTTTAACTGACTAAATAGTTCACTATGTAACAATCTCTGACATTGTTCAGACATGCCATAACATAGTTAATGGCCATAATTTAAAGAAAAGCACGATCATTTATATATCAAGATTAGCATCTTCTTGGGTGCCTTATCAAAGTGCTAATTCTTATCATAGCCTCAGAATTTGTAACACTGAGACAACATTTTGGGATGTGTGTGGATGCTCTTACCTGTGTGTGCACATGTGAACCCTAGAGGTGGACACCGAGTGTCTTCCTCTGTTACTCCCATTATTTTTCTTTAGAGACAGTCTGTCACTGAACCCGGAGCTCAGTGTTTTGGATAGACTGGCTTGCCTAGAGTCCTTGACATCCTCCTGACTCCAGTTCCTGCCATCCAATGCTAGAGTTGTAGGCATGTGCTACTACTCCTGCTTGTTTCCTTAAATAATATTTTCACTAGCTTTTCAAGAATTTCACACATGCATCCAATATAGTTTGGTCATAATCACCCCCCCAACTATTCTCCCAACTTTTCCCAGATCCATCCCTCTATCTCTCCCATCCCAACTTTATGCGCTCCCCCACCCCAGTGATAGGTATGTGGCCATCTACTGGATTGTGTCCATCCTACCAGGGGCTCCACCTTTAAAGAAGAATGACTCCCTCTAAAGCCATCAGCTTTCAATAGTTGCTCAGTAGGGGCTCCTGAACCTCTTCACCCCTTGCTGAAAATGCTATTAGCTTGTTGGTGTGCAGGCTACCACAGATGTTGTGAATTAATGGGTGCAATGTTCTGTTATGTCCAAAACACTGTTCTAGTTCTATATGACCTCTGTCCCTAACAATATTTATATCCCCCTTTCGGGATAAGCCCAGAGCCTTGCAGGAGAGGAGTGTGACATAGATGTCCCACTTGTGGATAAACACTCCACAGACATGTCCTCTCTGTACTTTGACCAGTTGTGAGTTTCTGCATTAACTACCGTTCACTGCACAAAGAACCTTCTCTGATGAGGCTTGAGTGGTACTAATCTATGGGTGCAGGCATAGGAATTTAGAGGTGAGTTTTATACCATGCCTGTTTAGCAAACTGTTACTGGGAATTTTAACAGCCAAGATGAAATATTCGAGACACATATTCAAACTGATCCACTGAGAAGTGCATCTGAGTTATGTGAGGACTTTTCAGTATTTAACCAGAATACTATTTCCATTACATTTGTCAATTAAATGTTCAGAACGAAAAGGAGGAACAAATATCTGTACGGTTTAAAAGCTGAAATTTGTTTTTAAACCCAAAGAATCTCTAGGTAGGATTTTTTTTAATTTGGCCTGTTCATTAGAATAGCATTTTTAGAAGTTTTATTTCCTATTTTAGAATTCTCAACGTCTTGCCGATAAATATCGCAGTCACAAGCTTTTTGGCACTGGCAAAGACCGAACAGAGAGCTGGTGGAAGGCCCTTTCTCACCATCTCATAGTAGAAGGATTCTTGATAGAAGTTCCCAAGCAAAACAAGTTTGTAAAGACTTGCTCCCTCACAAAAAAGGTAAATAGTACCGAGATCGCTCTGTTCGCCTCAACCCTTCCAACTGTGCATTAAGAGTCTTCTTGCTTTCGATAGGGTAGAAAGTGGCTTGGTGAAGCCAGGGCCCAGTCTCCTCCGAGTCTTATCCTTCAAGCTAATGAAGAGATGTGTCCAAGGAAGGTTCCGCTGCCAAGGTTTCTTTTTGTTTGTTCTTTCTTCTTCATATTCTCCCCCATTAACTTGAAACCTTTTAGTTTTACTTTAATGATTCAAATTCTAGCAGTTCATAGACACTGTGCAGGTAAAATCAGTTGTCTCTCTCCAGTGGGAGTGGTAGAAGGGAGTCATGGGGAAGAGGAGCTCATAGAACACTTCCCTGGTTGATGTCAAGTATAGACTGCAGTCCGTAGGAAGCTGCTTTCTGAGATAAGGTTAAAGAAGTGTTCCATATAGAAGAAAACAGGCTTGAAGAAATCCTGCTTCTGACTTTTCACAGCTGATAGTGTGTGATACCGCGTGGTGCAGAGACGAAGGGGATTAGAAATTATATTTCCGTGCTTTTGTGCATTCTGCTGTTATATACAAACTACAAACGACAGTCGCCCTATGGCCATATAAAATAAAAGGAGGAACAAACAAGATTTCTTGCCTTTTGCTTAAGACAACATGGGGTGACAGAAAGACGTGGTGAATCATACCTCCTAGTGCAGGGGTAGGAAGGCTATATGCTTGCTGCCTGTTTTGCAGCATTAGTGCAAATGTTATTGATCATGTATCAGTTTTTTTTCCTTTGAAACTCTTTTATAGAGGAAATCAGTGTTTTAAAAATATAGGTTCTTAAAGGGTAATATAACCTTACTTCTCTGAGAGTAGTATGATGATTCATGAGTTGGATGATTATATTTTAACATAGGAGATACTTTAATTTTCCTGTTTTTCAGTTCTAACCCTGGATCTTCAGAAATGAAGCAACATTCTTCTGATCAAAAGCCAATTGGATTAACTACTGAGCAGGTTCATTCTCATGGGATGGTTCTTATTATTTCAGTTTTCATGGATGCAAGTCCTCGTTTAAAATCTTGTATTTGCATTGCTGCTAGTTAGAACAAAACACATAAAAATCATAAGCTACAAAGAAAATAATAAAAATGTGATTTCTCAAGTTAATAAAGAAATAGAAATATTTCACAAAGTAATTTATTTTTCTTTTAAAGCTTAGTTTATAAATAATTTGTCTTGAGGCTTTTAATGTATTATGATACTTACAGGTAATAAATAAGTCTAATTCCTAAATATTCTCATTAAAGCCACACATACCCACATACACACACACCCATCCCATCTGAAAATAGGCATATACATATGACATATAGACATATATATGCATATATACACTTTACACACACACCCATCTGCAAATAGACACATATATGCATATATGTATGACATATACATATGCATATATATACACACTTCACACACACATACACACACTCATCCCATCTGCAAATGAACATATATATACACTTTATACATACATATACACACATAAACACTTTTTTGGTTTGTAGTCTCTTAATAACTACTACAGATTCTTTATGTGTAGGCTGTCTTTAGCTGATTAGAACATGGTGATAGGCAAATGGTGAATTAAGTCTCCTGCTTATTAGTGTTGACATGGAGTCGAGTCACTTCTGTAACTCAGGATTTTGTGTCTTAGGACCTTCTTTAGATCACTCTTTAAACTGCCTTTGAAGCCTTAAAAGGCAGTGGCTCAAAGGCTTATTTATTTGAAGGCTTGGTTACTTAGGAGAATAATTGTTATTGCCAGTTTTTTAATTTGTATTTATTTATCTTATTGTCTTTGTATTTAAATGTTTTTGTAATTTCTTTTTTTAAAATGAACTTTATTTGTGGAAAAATAGTCTAATTTGGAGAGAATGTATTCGTACAAAGCACCTGAGAAATCTTCTGGGAGCAACATTCCTAACAAAAGGTAGTGTTCCAATTTTAATCTTTTATATGTGCTTATATTATTGATACTACTATTTTCCTTTCCTTCTTAAAGAAAAAGATCTGTTAGGTGCTGGTCTGTTTCACTGCAAAAATAGATAAAATCAGAACACAGTCTCTGTGGTTCTAGAATGACTAAAAGTCACCTGCAAAGGTCGGGCAGTAGACCGTGCTCCTTGGGTGTCTCTGTTCACAATGCTTTGTATTAAAATGTTAAGCACTCGATACACCCATTTCTGAGTTGGCCACTATTATTCTCATTCTGAAGTCAACTATATCAAGGATCAGGCCATTAACCTGTTGATGAATATGTAGCTAATGACATTGATGGCTTGCATCTATATTTGTCCACCCCTAACATTTAACCACTGCTCTTTTATGTTTGGGAATACATATTCCCAACCCATTTTCAAATAAAGGTATTATGGCAGTAAGACTGGAGATGTAAAAATTGTTAGAGAATAAGGCTGCAATACCCACTGTAGGCTGAATTGTTGTTTTCTTGTGCTGGGGAAGGAGCCCAGGACCTGCTTGTGCTCACTCTACCACTGAGCTACCAACCCAGCTGTTCATGCTTTTAATCTTACTGTGTGACTTGCTGACATAATAGAAGCATGGAAACTGTATAGAATCTAATATCCTGCCTGAGAACCAGATACTAGAAGTGTCACGGCTTATATAAAAAGATTAGATGAGCTGTGCTTATACTCACACGAGGTTAAAGTGAGTATGCTCTAAGACCCACACTCTCTGTGCTTCACTCATTTAGATAGCATGCCTTTTGCTCTGACAAGACATCTATCACAGCATTAATTTCCTTATCCTAGACTATTTATTTTTGTTTGGCTGTGTGATGCGCAGTTACTAAAGTTTTATTTGGATAGGAAGTTTCGGGAGTCTGTGTGACTGTGTCCATACTGTATCATGAAGCATTTCTATATTTAAATGTTAACTGTGTTTTCACATGGCTGTACTACAGGCACTATTTTAGGCCCCAGGATTCAAAGGGAATATTACTGCCATTGTTGCCACACTCCCAGAATGTTAATAGTCCATGGGACACACAGGGAACGGTACGCGAAACTGTAAAACTACGATCTATGGGACTTGACAGGTGGACCAGTGGTCTGGAGCTCTTACTGTTCTTGCAGATGGTCAGCTTTCAGTTTCCAGCACCCACGTGGTGCCTGGCAACTGTTTGTAACTCCAGTTCCAGGGAATCTGATGCCTTCTTCTAACTTCTGTGGGCACTAGACACACATGTGGTGAACATACATACATGCAGACAAAACATTAGTAAATAAATATAAAAAGATCTGTGATAATACTGCACGACTCAGCAGCAGCTTAGAGATTACTTAGTAAGAATAGTTAACTGAAACCTGCAGAAATAAATGCAGGCTGGAGTATCCCATTCTTGCTTAGCACTCAGGTGGATCTGAGGGCAGCTGGGAGCTAAGTTATGTCTTCAGTAAGCTAACAGTGACATGCCAGTATTCTGTCAACAGTGACATGTCAACATGGGCAGCTGACTGTCCTGTAAGGAGTCAGTGTTTTAGACTCTGCTTTGCAGTTGTAGTCAAAGCAGCCATAGATAATTTATAAGGCAATTAATGTGCTATATTCTTAGAAAGCATGAATGATAAACATTGGAGCTTAAGTTTTGTATAACCTAACATGTCATAAAATATCTTCTTTTGATCTTTATTTTTTCACCTTTAAGGCTAAGTAAAATAAAAACGGATTTTTGTGGAGGCCCGGGGGTGATAACTCTTTTTTGAGCATACCTGTGATGAATGGATTGTAGAGAAACCAGAATTGTGGTAAAAGCAAAAACATGGACGTTCACATCAGTGTTTTTACAAGAGGCCACGGTACCAGAGAGGAGGAGTGTGGCAGGGGACACAGAGAAAATGAACAGTAGTCTTGTAAGACAGGACATAGACTACAGTTGTTAGGACTCTGAAAAGACAGTGAGTGTGTTGAGGAAGGCGTCTTTTAGAACTGGATGGAACATTGGCATTCTTTTCAGTGGGCAGTGGAAGAAGCACAGTGTGGAGGGTTTAGATATTTAGGAGCTAAGGTTAAAAATCAAGAGCTTAGGGGTATATTGAGCTAGGGTTACCCATGGAATAGTCCAGAAATTTGTTACAATACAAACAGCATATAACAGCATATAAGAGTAAGCAGGATGGTAACAATCTGCAACTGTGTGTGTGTGTGTGTGTGTGTGTGTGTGCGTGTGTGTGTGTGTGTGTGTGTGTGTGTGTGAGTGTGTGTGTGTGTGTGTGTGTGTGTGTGTTTCCATGTTACTGTGGGAGAAAAGTTCGCATGTTTATGTGGATGCCAGAGGACAACTTTGGGTTTCCTCAGGAGCCATCTACCCCTCCCCCCCTCCCTCCCTCCTCCTCCCTCCTCCCTCCCTCCTCCCTCCCTCCTCCCTCCCCCTCCCTCCTCCTCCCTCCTCCCCCCCCCTCCCTCCCCCTCCCTCCTCCCCCCTCCTCCCTCCCTCCTCCCTCCTCCCTCCCTCCCTCCCTCCTCCCTCCCTCCTCCCTCCTCCTCCCTCCCTCCTCCTCCCTCCTCCTTCCCTCCCCCTCCCTCCCTCCTCCTCCCTCCTCCTCCCTCCCTCCTCCTCCCTCCCTCCTCCTCCCTCCCTCCTCCTCCCTCCCTCCTCCTCCCTCCCTCCTCCTCCCTCCCTCCTCCTCCCTCCCTCCCTCCCTCCCTCCCTCCCTCCCTCTTTCCCTCCCCCTCCTCCTCCCTCCCTCCTCCTCCCTCCCTCCTCCTCCCTCCCTCCTCCCTCCCTCCCTCCCTCCCTCTTTCCCTCCCCCTCCTCCCTCCTCCCTCCCCCTCCCTCCCTCCTCCCTCCCCCTCCTCCCTCCTCCCTCCTCCCTCCCTCCCTCCTCCCTCCTCCCTCCCTCCCTCCTCCCTCACTCCCTCCCTCCCTCCCTCCCTCCCCCTCCCTCCCTCCCTCCCTCCCTCTCCCTCCCTCCCTCTCCCTCCCTCCCTCCCTCCCTCCCTCCTTCCCTCCCCCTCCCTCCCTCCCTCCCTCCCTCCCTCCCTCCCTCCCTCCCTCCCTCCCTTTCTCTCTTATTTTCTCACTGCCTGTGGCTCATCAAGTAGGCTAGACTGATTGGCTAGCGAGTTCCAGGGATTCACTTGTCTCTGACTCCCCAGTGCCCCGATTATAAATGTACACTACCATATAAATATTACAAACCAAATAAGAAAACTGTGTTACTATGGCTACCACTGTTTTTAGCTTTCTTTTTTTTTCTTCAAGACAGGGTTTCTCTGTGTAGTGCTGGCTGTCCTGGAACTCACTCTGTAGGCCATCCTGGTCTTCAGAGTGAGTTCCAGGACAGCCAAGGCTACACAAAATTCAATGTTCCCTAGATGAGAAGCAGACAAACAAAAGGACATTGAATAGAAGAAAAGAAAAAGAAAAAGAAGTAAAAAAAAAACTAAAGCCAACTCAAGAAAAAAATCTATTATTGTTATTATTTTGGTATTTTGAGACAGGGTTTCTCTGGGTAGCCTTGTAATCAGATTTTCCTTTTTTTTAAAGGAGGCTAAATGTAATTTATTCCTGTAAATAAATTAATTTGTAGCCAACACGACTACAAGCATAGTTCTGAACATGTTATTCATTTATAAGGTGACTATCAACCCTCATGTTGTAATTAAAAAATTCATATACAAAAAAATTCTTATACAATACATCCTGATCACAGTTTCCCCTCCCTCCACCCCTCCCAGTTCCCCCTTAGTGATTTTTTAAACAGTCTGCAACAAGTTAGTAGTTTCTATAAGATTAAGATTCAAACTTAGCTTTAAATTGATTAGCAGTGGGTCTTTTAGAATGGGTGTCTTGTTGGCCCAGTAGAATTTAACAGAACACAGTAGCCATTGATGCCCTGTCTACATCCAGCAGTAAGAGCCAATCCTTGGCTTTTGCATATCAACACCTGCGGATCAAAGTATCTGGGCTTTTATCCTATCATATCTTAGTTGTCTTCCTTAGGGTTTCTATTGCTGTGAAGAGACACCGTGACCAGGGCAATGTGGAAGTGGGTTATGAGGTCTCACATATACTCAAGATAGCGCCCAGAGTCACAGTCCACTTCCTGTTGAGTTCTGATCAAGTCAACACCATGTCTGCCTGCTCTCTGCCATCTCCCCACCATGATGATAACGGACTGAACCTCTGAACTGTGAGCAGCCACCTCAGTCATATGCTTTCTTTTATAAGAGATGCCCTGGTCATGGTGTCTTCACAGCAACAGATTTTCAATTCTGAACATTATTGTTCACTATCACCTGTCAGCCTCCCAGTTAAATCCAAAATGTGTCACTTCAAGGAAAGAATATAGTGTCTGATCTTAATTGTGGATGTTTTCTGTAGTTACTTTGACCTTTTCTTTGTGTACTTGTAGTAATCATACACAACACTTTTAAATTAGGTTTTGTTTGGAATACAAATAAATGAGTTTCGCTAGGATATTTTCATACATGTATCATGTACTTCATTAGGGTATTTTCATACATACATGTATCATGTACTTCATTAGGATATTTTCATACATACATGTATCATGTACTTCATTAGGGTATTTTCATACATACATGTATCATGTACTTCATTAGGGTATTTTCATACATACATGTATCATGTACTTCATTAGGGTATTTTCATACATACATGTATCATGTACTTCATTAGGGTATTTTCATACATACATGTATCATGTACTTCATTAGGATATTTTCATACATACATATATCATGTACTTCATTAGGGTATTTTCATACATACATGTATCATGTACTTCATTAGGGTATTTTCATACATACATGTATCATGTACTTCATTAGGATATTTTCATACATACATGTATCATGTACTTCATTAGGATATTTTCATACATACATGTATCATGTACTTCATTAGGATATTTTCATACATACATGTATCATGTACTTCATTAGGATATTTTCATACATACATGTATCATGTACTTCGTTGTTTTTGCCTGCTTCACTTCCTTCACACTTCCTTCCTCTTCTGGGAGTCTCCTTCCTCTTGCCCAGGATCCTTCCTGCTCTCATGACAGTTGGGGCCCATTGCTATGCTGATTACCTCTAGTTCTTCAGGCCCGCTCCCAGATTCTCACAGTGCCTTTACTTTTGTCACACACACATCTCAGTCTGCATATGAGAGAAAATGTGGTACCACATTTATCACAGTAAGTCTGCCCTATTTTGCTTAGCATAATCATCATCAGTTTTATCCACTGTCCTATGAATGTCATGATTACATTCTGTATAGCTGAATAAAACTGCATTGTATACATGTATCTTTTTCTTTATCCATTCAGTGTTGATAGACATTTAGTTTGGTTCCATATCGTGGCTATTGTGAATAGTGAAGCAAATAAAAGAGATGGACAGGTGTCTTTGTGGTTTGTTGACTTTGAGTTCTTTGGATATATTCCCAAAGCTGCATCATATGGTAATTCTGTTTCATGAGAAATATTTACATTTCTCAAAAAAAAGTGTGATAAATATTCATACCGATTCCCTAGCGGCTGCATGAGTGTACATTCTCGTAAGCAGTGAATAAGGCTTCCTTTTTCCCGGTCTTTGTCTGCATTTGTTTCATTGATGATGCCCATTCTACTGGAGTGAGATGAGATCAAAACAGTTTTTTTTCTTTCTGATTTTCTGATGGCTGAGGGTGTTGAACATGTCTTTCCAAATATTTATTTGCTATTTGTATTTTAACCCTTTCAGAACTGTCAGTTCAGTTCATTGACTTGCTAATTGATTTTTGGTATTTTGGTTTTAGGGTTCTTTATGTAGTCTAGATATTAAGTCACTGTTAAATGTAATAACTGGCCAGGATTTTTCTCTCATTTTGCAGGTTTCTCTTCACATTGTTAATTGCTTCCTTTGCTTTACTGAAGCTTTTGAATTTCATTCAACCTCTTGTATGGTTGTGTCCTGCTACGTGGAATCTGCACCTGTGTCTGTAACTCAAAGTGCTTTCCTATAGCAATTTCAGGATTTTTAGATCTTTTAAAAAATTTGTACAGGCTCAGAAATACAGATCTAAATCAGTGTCTATATATATTCATCTATATCTATTTATATCTGGTTTTTCTACCATCCTTTGCTGCTTTTCTCCACTATATATTTTGAAGCCTTTATTAAAAATCAAGTAACTACAGCTGTGAGTTTCATTCTGTCACTGTTTTTCCTTGATCCATGTGTCTGTTTTTGTGTCAATGCCATGTTTTCAATTTTTTTATTTCATTCGGGTAGTATAATTTGAGATAAGTTATTGCAATGTCTCTGGTTTGCCTTCTGCTTAGGATTGTTTTTTCTATTTGGAGGTATTTGTGCTTCTCTTTGAATTTTATGATTGTTTTTTTCTCTTTCTATGAAGAACATTCTGAATTTTGATGGAGGTTATGTTGAATCTTAGATGTTTCTATAATTTAATTATTGTCACCATATTGTGTATTGGAGGTATTTCCAATTTCTAATGTCTTCAACTTTTTTCTTCAAAGTTGCAGAGTTGCAGAAGGTTTTCATTTCCTTTGTAGGTTTGTTCCTAGGTTTTGGAGCTACTGTGAGTGGGACCTCCTACCCACCCCCCCCACCTTTTTAATCAAGCTCTTTATTTGAGGTATAGGGAAGCTATTGATTTCTGTATGTTCATTTTGCAACCTACTTCATTGTGGGAAAATGTTTACACCAGGTTGGAGAGTTTTCTGATAGAATCACTGGGGTCTCTTAAGAATGGGATCATATCATCTACAAGTAGGAATAATTTGGAATAATTTTTCTCTTTCCTATTTGTATCCCGTTGTTTCTTTTATCTAACTGCTCAAGCTTAGCCTTTCAGCACTGTGTTGACTAAAAATGGAGAAAGTAGGGACTTTCTCTCATTCCTGATTTTAGAGGAAATTTGTTCAATTTTCCTCATTTATTATAGTGTTGGCTGTAGGTTTACAGTATGTAGCCTTCATTAGGTTGAAGTATGTTCCTTCTTTTTATAGTTTCTTCAGGCTTTTCTCATGAAGGACTGTTGAACTTTGTTAGAGGCTTTTTCTATATACATCGAGATGATCATTTGCCTGGAGACAGTCCTTGAGTCTTTATATGTTGTGTTTTACATTCATTGATTGCATATGTTGAACCATCATTGTATTCCTGGAAGGTAACCCACTTGGCCATGGTGTATGATCTTGTATGTTCCTGAATTTTGTTTGCAGGTTTATTTTTGTACTTATGTTCATCATGGATGTTGTTTCATAACCTCTCTCGGTGTCTGCCTTTGTGTGTGTGTGTGTGTGTGTGTGTGTGTGTGTGAACTCGTGTGCACGCTCACAAAAGCCTACATCCTTATCTTCTTTTGGTAGGGTAATGCTAGCTTCTAAAATGAGGTTGGTAGTGGTCTTTCTCTTTATATCGTATGGAACAGTTTGAGGAGCATTGCTGCTTGTTTGTTTGTTCTAGATTTGCTGGAATTCAGCAGTAAATCCACCTGCTCCTGGGCTTTTCTTTGATAGAAGATATATTTATTATTTTCCATGTTTCTGGGCTAAAATATGTAACAAGAGCAACTTAGGGAAGGCAGCGTTTATGTTAGCAGTCATTTTGAGGGTACCCTCTACCATGTGGGAAATTCATGCTAGTGGGCACTTGAGCAGCTGGTTGCACCTGTAGTCAGATAGCAGAGGGAAATGAATATTCATACTTAGCTCCTTTCTTCCTCTTTCCTTCCTTCCTTCCTTCCTTCCTTTCTTTCTTTCTTTCTTTCTTTCTTTCTTTCTTTCTTTCTTTCTTTCTTTCTTTCTTTCTTTCTTTCTTCCTTTCTTCTTACTTTCTTTCCATAGCTGGGATCCCAGCCCATTGAACGGTGCCTCCCATATTCCAGTGGCTCTTCCCACCCCAGTTAACCTAGTCTAAATCATCTCTAAGTCATCCCCAAAGGCATCTCTCTTGTGTAACTCTAGATCCTGTCCAGTTGCCAGTCGCCACCATCCCAGAGAGTATTCTAGCTTCAGTTGTGTTGCCTTTTTATAGCACTTTTCACTGAGCTTTTTCTCTCTACCTTTCTACGTTAGTGATGTCACTCAGAATTTTTCAAGAAAAGAAGACAGTAAAATTTTGGTTTACCAAAAGTCACTATGCTAATACCTGTCATTATAAAGATTCTAAGAAAAATCAAGGTACAAGTTAAATTGGGCCATGAGATGGCTGAGGGGTAAAGGCTTGGTACACAAGCCTGATGATAGGAGCTTGATCCCTGAAGTCCACAGAAGTGGAAGGAGAGGACCGACTCCCTCAAGTTGCTCTCAGACGTACATACGTGCATCGTGGCATGCATGCATGCATACACAATAAATAAAAAGCATTGTAAATTAAAGAGCAATTGCAATTTTCTTGATTAACTTGATATCTCTTTGAACTGTATATTTTGTCATGTGCAAGTCTTTAATGTATGCAATCAGATTTGATAAATGTGGGAATGAATTCTTACTTTATACTGTGATTTCTGAATTCTTGGAACATATAAATTTGTAAACATTTGTGAAATACTAAATACATCCAGTCTTGTTTATAAGAAGTAGAAATTTAAGTGTGACATCTTTATAAAAGCCTACCTTATACATTTTATTTTTGCAGCTTTCTTATTTGTAATTAGCCTATCAGTGAGAAATGCTTCTTGGGAGATAATCTGGTTTGCCTCCCAGTGCTTTTCCTTTCTGAAATTTGATATATTCTCTACAACTTTGGTTTGATTTTGAAAAAAAATCTGAATAACTATTGGTTCTTTGCTGCTGTTGCCTACTAACAAAAGCCAGTGATTTCACAGCGAGAACAGACGACGCTCTATTGGTTAGAAAATAGTTCTCTTCTCTGTGGATAAGTAGTTATTGTTTCCAAGCACATGGTTGAGAAGGAAGACTGGGGGATGCCCTCCTTAAGCCACTTAAGTCACTTTTAACTGTATCTTGATCTCATCTCAAATGTTTAAAGTGGAGTCATTGGCAACTGAAGTACAAATCGTCTTACATTGTGAAGTGTAAAGGTTAGTTTTAGAGTCTTATTTGTAGTATGAAATAAAAAGTAAATGAGGGAAGAAGAACGGTGTATTTATTTTCTTTTAAATATTTTAGTGTCGGGATGCAATCACCAGGAAAATCTTATGGCTCCTCAGAACCTGTTATTTCAGCCCAGGAGCTGGACACCAGGGTAAGGCTATTGTAATGTGGTAATTAACTTATGAATGGGCTACCAGCAGTCTAAGACAGGGCTTACCTCGTTTTCAAAGTGGTACCTGGAGTTCTAAAAGTAAAGGTAGCTTGTTTCTAACTGCACTTTCAAAAGCGCTGCTGTCTCTCTGTTTCTTGCTAGACTGCTTTATATGCCAGGTTGGTGGAAGCCAGGCAGAAACATGCTAATAAACTGGACGTGCCTCCGGCTATTCTAGCAACAAACAAGATTCTACTGGATATGGCTAAAATGAGGTAAACTGTTTATGTTCCAATTCTCTCTGGTGCAGTAGATTTCTTTCTTTTTTCTTTTCTTTTTTCTCTCTTTTTCTTGTTTGTTTTTTGTTTTTGTTTTTCAAGACAGGGTTTCTCTGTGTAGCTTTGGAGCCTGTCCTGGAACTAGCTCTTGTAGACCAGGCTGATCTCGAACTCACAGAGAGCCGCCTGCCTCTTACATCTTCAACATAATGGAACAAATTAAGCTCTACGATTCTGTGAGTATTGTTTAGGTTTAAAAGTACAGCATAGATGTTGTAGCTTAGTAAGGGCATTTAGCATGGAAATGTTCCAAGTACCAGCATGGACTTAAAGCAGATCTGAAATTCAAGAAACAAAGACTCAAATAAATGCATTGAGTTAAAGGCTTGTGAGCCATTTGCTGTTACTGGAGACATTTCACAGGGAAGAAAAGCGAGTGAAACTTCCTTCTGAGTGTCTTAGCCTTTCTTACTGTCCTGTTCAGAGCCTCGTGGTTTTCATTTCTGTAAATAATATGGTAACCAAGTAGAACACTGAGTGTTAGCTTATTCGGTTCTGATAATAGCCTCTTCACCAGTTAATACCTGCACCTAGTTTTTGTGGTGTTTGAAGTAAAGGGGAGCTTTTATTTGTTAATTGTTTACATAGCAAATCTATAAGTGAATAAAGGGATTATGTGTTGTGACCATCTGTAGAAAGTCCTGGTTTTGGTTGTAGAAATGTACAGTGTGAGACTGAGCATCAGCTGTGTTCTTGGAGTGATGCTGTCTCGGTGGTTTCTTCATAATTCTTTCTTGTAAACGACAGGCCAACTACTGTTGAAAATGTAAAACAGATTGATGGTGTCTCTGAAGGCAAAGCTACTCTCTTGGAACCTCTGTTGGAAGTCATCAAACACTTCTGTCAAGTGAACAGTGTCCAGGTAAAACCCTGGGTTACAGAGGCTCTTAGAGAAGAACACTTTTGACTGCTTCAGAAGCAGCACTGTCTCCTCTCTTTGCATTTCTACCTGGACACTTAGAAAATGAGTTCAGATTGTTTTACAGTAAATGGTTACAATCACATGTTCTTTCTCTTGATATTTCATGAGGAACTATAAGAGGGTTTTTAAAATGCATCTTTTAAATATTTTATTTATTTTGTTTAATCTAGTGCATGCGTGTGTGTGTGTGTGTGTGTGTGTGTGTGTGTGTAGGATCCATCTGATATGGGTGCTCAAAATAAAACACAAGTCCTCTAGAAGAGAAACACATGCTCTTCTCCACTGTGTTGTCTATCCAGCCCTCTATCTAAGAGGGATGTGTGTTTCACAGCAAGTTATTCATTGTGTCAACATAAATGCATATATATGTATATACATACATATATATAATATATGTAGTTATATACATATACAGATATAATGAGGATATGTTTCTTTATGATGTGTGTGTGCCCATTCTGTGATTATAGTATGTAAACTTGTATATTGATTCTGTTCAGTGTTCCCTTCCAGAGGATTAGGAGATTCATTTAGAGACATTAATTAGAACATTATATGGTTTCTGTTGGACTCTTTCATATGAGCCAAAGAGAAAGTCTCATGCTTGTTAGCTTATTTAACCTTTTAAATTGACATGTAAAAAAATTCAACTTCTTTTTGCATTCCCCATGAAAACTCTTTGTTATTTAGAAATTTTGTGTCACATTTTCCCATAATGCCTCACAGTCATATGTTGATCATTATGTTGATGGCGCTATTGTGTCTGTCATTATGTTATCATTATTATTTGTGCTGCATTTAAAATTCTGTAGACAGACCTCTTTTCGAGTACAAAACCTCAAGAGGAGCAGAAGAAAAGTCAGGAAGTGGAAAATGGAGAATGCTCACTTTCACAGTCTGTGGCTGTCACATATTCTTTATTCCAGGACAAGAAAATGTCCTTGGTAAGTGCTGCCTTCAGTGTGTTTACACTTGTGTTTGCTCGGCTTTTTAGTGTGGAAGCTGTGACTTGGGGTCCATTACTTCTTGTCATACAGTGAGTCTCATATTTGATTTTCAGGCACAATGGCATTTTTTTTTTTCTGGTGAGCCTGTCTCTGTTAGGTAGCAGCAGCAAGTCTAGTGTGATCACAACGATTTTAACAGAAACTGTATCACAGTTAGGGAAAACACAGCTGTAACTCAGGAAAAGTGCAGCAGAAGCATTTTATAACCAGTTTAAAACTATTAGTGTATATTTTACAAGAGACACAAAAAGTATGACCAAATAACACCATTCTTTACGCCATTAGCTATGAAAAACGAGAAGCTTTGTATTATGGAATGTGTGCAGTTTTTAGTCTCTTGTGCCTTCAGCGTAGAGCACGCACCTACTGTGTGGGAGCCCCTGGGCTCTATCCCAAGCACTGCCAGGGAAAATAGATTCAGTAAGTTAAGCAGAAACAAATCACAAAGCTGTGAAGGCATGCTGTTACATGTGTGGTGCGTACTCTGTTTTTGGAACTTACTCAAAGATCTGAGAACAACTTTCCAAGAATTTGCTTTTCACTCTGTCTTCCAGCACATTGCTCCATTTTTTTCCCCTCCAAAACTAGGTTGGACACTCATTTTAAATCTTATTACTGTGAAAATGGTCATAGTTAATATTTCTTCATTTTTCTAACGTAAGTCTTTATGGCTCTTGAGTTTTTATTCTGTGAGATGGGGAGCGTATCACTGGAGTAGGGCACTGAGATCCCTGCTCTGCATTGGAGGCTCTGATAGTGAACTGAGCTCATGTGGGTCAGGGCTTGCCTTTCCTGTCCATTTACCATGCATCAGGACACACCTTGTTTATCTTATGGTTGGATGAATATACAGTCCTTAGCCTAAAAGATCTAGGTAGTCATCTTCCTCACTTAAAAGTAGAAAAGCAAGTGATTCCCTTAGCTATGTTTTAAATAAAACACATGGTTAGTAGGAATTTAAGTTCAATCTTGTGTAAGCAGTCAGTTTACTTGTTGAATGTACCTTATATGTATGCTTTAACCATGTATATATAGTAACTGAATCTGGTTACCAAGAAAGTTTGGAATAAAGTATATTTTGTGAATAAAGTAGATTCTAGTACTCAATAATAATACATAAAATATGTTACATTTTGTGATTAATGATGTGATGAATGAATTATCTTTATTTATGTCTTATAGTATTATGCAGTAGTGTTTGATTTTGCAAAATGATTGTTGATTATCTGTACCTCCCAGGAGTCTTAAAAGGGTCTTGCTAGTTAACCACAAAATTAAACACATCTGAGGACTAATTAGTGATGAGCAATAATACCATTAGTTGGAGGTAATTTGATGCCTAGTATCAAATAACCCCGATATTATACACACATGGTACATACTTTTTAATGGAAAGGAGTAGACATTTAATGAAAACAATTGCACACCTACTTGTGAAGGATGAAATTAGTGCCCTAGATGGTCTGCTCTGTGAATGTATCAGCATTCACACATACAGTCTAAATTCAGACTTTCTAAATATATTGAAGTAAATATCATGAATGTTAGCATAATTGAGTATCTATGCTTTTTGTTTAAAAATATGTTTTACCTAATATATATTATAAATGTATTTGGAGCCACACCTGTTTAAGAAAATGTATAGAAATACTTTACAAAATTGATCATCATTATCCTAAGTTCAGTAGTATGATAAGGGTGAGCAAGTATCCTTATTAAACTGTAGTTATTGTTTATGAATTCGGTTTATTTAAGACACTAAAATCTTCTCAGGGCCCTTCTAAAAAGTGCTTCTGGAGCCTTGCATCATCACTGAGCATTTAGGAGTTGTCTTCTTGGAAATTCATGTAGCTAAAGCATCATGTCCAATTTCAAGAGCATTATAGTACAGCTTTCTATATTTTCAAACCATCATAACAGTTATCAGACTTACCATAAAGTGGCGGATGGCTGACACCAAATCACTTTTTAAATGAATACAGAGGGAAGGGTGGGGTTGAATTTTTGGCTAAAGTTAGGTGGTTTTGTTTTAATCAAGAGTGGAATCAGTGGAGGTCGGTCTATAGTAGTTTTAAAGAAATATTTAAAATGACAACTTTATCCATCACTTATTTCTCAGTGAACAGCTGCTGCCTGAAGATGTCAGACTCTTTCTTTCTTGAGATGCAGACGTTCTAAACTCACTGGTTCTTTTGCTATTGTCCTGCAGCACAGCATAGCTGAGAATAGGCTTCTGCCTCTCACAGCAGTTGGTATGCACTTAGCCCAGGCCGTGAAAGCCGGCTACCCCCTGGATATGGAGCGAGCTGGCCTGACCCCAAAGGTTCAGAAGATTATTGCTGATGTTATCCGAAACCCTCCCATCAACTCAGGTGATGAGCACAGCCCTTCTCTGCAGCCTAATGACCCGAGTCAACTCCGATGAAGTAAACAAGTGATTCGCTCGGGGTTTTATGTTAACAGCACTGACCCTTGAGCTGTGGTGAAACTTTACATTGGTAACTTATTTATTTTAGGAGAAAATTCATTTCTTCCTCAACAGAAAGTATACTGAAAAAATTCTTTCTTTCCAGATTACAGTCTTCCCATCAAGTCCAAGTCAGGCATGTTTAAAATTACATCATGCCTCATCTACATTCCCAGCAGCTGAATGACTCCTCCTTTCCCCTGAACAACTCTGAGTCTTGCCCGTGGTTTCTTGCTCTAACCAGTAGTCAGTGGCATCAGTCATGGACATGGCAAACCTGTAGCTCCAGTAGAAGAGCTTCTTCACGCTCAGTAGACACTTGCCTGTTAAGAGTACTGACTATTCTGTAGGAGACAGGGGTTTGATTCCTGGCACCCACATGGTGACCCACAACCACCTGTAACTCCAGTTCCAGAGGATCTGACGCCCCCTTCTGACCTCTGTGGGGACCAGGCACACATATGGTGCATAGGCATGCATGCAGGCCAAACACCCAAACCAGTGAGGAACCACAGCCGTGGAGCTCAGTCCCCTGCGGGCCTTGCAGAGATCTTTAAGAAGTGATGCATTTTTTTTTCTTTTCACAGAAGCAAAGTTAAGGCACATTATAGAATTTTCCTCTTAAATGCACAAATATACAGTCAGAGTGTTAAAACAATGCATCTGGTTTTTAAAAATTCTGCCAGACTAAAGCAATAGTCATCTTAAAAACAAACAAATCTTAATCTGCAAAGCTGAGTGAATTCTTACTTTTTTTTAACCTGAAATTCTTTCCCATGTGGAAGTAACCAGAATTGTGTCCCCCACCCAAGAATTTGTAAGGTGCTAGAGCAGCAGAATAACTTAGTGAGAGTCTTTCTCAAATACAGTTTGACTATAATTTGATTTTCTGTGCATATCTGTGTATAGAGAAGGCATGTCTAGACATGCCAATTTGAGACTTAGAGTGATACTTGTGCATTTATAATTATGTTAATGAATTGTTATTTTTGGAACTTGCTCAATGTGGATCTGCTAAGGTTAAATTTAAGCTTGTAAGTTTTAAGACCCAAGGGCCATATCTTAGACTTTGTGGTAAACTATCCAAAGTACCTTGATTGTGAGTCATCCTGTGAGGAAACTAGGAGTCTTCTTGACAGGAGTAGCCAGTCTGTTAGACATGAAGGCAGAATGAGGAGAATAGCATTTACTGTGTAGGATTAGAGTAAGGGTTTATCAACCTTTGTCCATTGCAAAAATGACACATTGTTTTTAGGGAAAGTTAAAGACTGGAATTTCTGCTAGAAATACACTGTGTCTTGGGACTTGGACATGTTTTGATGTTTGAGCAATGTTATGCAGCATTGCTTCCTTTAAAAAAAAACATTGGCAATCATGTTTGCCGTTGATTGGATAGCTTCCTGAAATCTTGAGTTGACAAATGGAGTTAGCCTACACAGGTAGACGAAAAGACTGACAATAGAGACACTAGCGAGTCAGTCTTACCTCTGACAGTTTATGGCTTGTGACCTTTGGCACAAGACCCAAACCTTTCTAGATATGTTTTTTCTTGTATGAAACAGAAAGGAATACTATTTTTATCTTTTATGGAATTGTGAAAAACACACTGGATACCAGACAGAAAGCATTGGTACATGGAAAATAGTAACTAGTAAATAGTGATAAATAGTGGCATTAGTAAAGGATGGTGATGATTGAAGTAAATGATACTGGCAAACCACATCCAAGAACACATTAAAATCATCCACCGTTAATATTTTCTAACGTCTTTTAATATTGCCCACCATAACCAGAGCCCTCTATAGTCTGAGTTTAGCAATTACAATTTCTGGTGCTAGGGCATTAATTTTTAAATCTATTTTTTTATTTTTGAGAGTTTCATATTAAAAATGCTGTATTTGCATCATTTCTACTCCTCCCTCTCTCCTAGCCAATTTATTTCTGTCTCCTCCATCCCATCTCAAATTCATGACCTATTTAATTACTGTCTTTACACACACACACTCCCCACAGACACAGAATCTACTGAGTCCATATAGTGATGTCAGTGTACAGTGTACAACCTGATTTAACAAATATCAGAGATGAAGTCTTTTATAATAATTGGTGACTAAGTCACTAGTAAAGCATGTCTTTACCACCATACACAGACTATAGCATTAATCTTACACAGGCATGTCCTAAATTGCAATAGCAAAGAATAGAGATGGTATTTTAAAAATGTATTTATGAAAAAGTGTCTACTCTTCTAAAATATACCATGCATAGGTTGCATACATAACATGTAGAAATATATTTGCATAACCTGTTTCAAATCTAAGTAGAGAAAGAGGAGTATGACAATCATGAAATCTTAACTTTGTTTCTTTGTTGCATTCATGGTCTATAAGGTGTCTTGTATGGGTATGAGATTTGGGGTTTAGATTCTTGTTTTTCTTTGATGTGATACTAGTTGTAGTCTTATGGAGAAAACATCATTATTTATAAGTTACCATAAGGAATGAAAATATACATACTACATTAATAGTTTGGATGTTATTTTTATTTAACTATAGTCTTATATGATTCAGTATTTTAATGAACAAGTTGGTTTGAAATTTAAACTTCACACAATCCCAAATTGAATTTCTTCTGTACTTTTATAATATAATATTAGATAAAAATAGAGTAACTGTAAGTTGAAATCATATTTTTGTGCACTCTTGTTTCTATCTAGATTTTTACTCTGTAGCTTTGTTTTTTTATAATTCTGTGATTGTTATTAGTCTGTCTATGTAATTTAAGCTTCTGTTATTACATTGAGCATTTTAACTACGTTTATAGTTAAGTAAAATATTTAATGAGGTACCTAGATAATCCTCAGGATAATTTCTCCCATTCTTTATGTGCATGGAACTGGAAAGTTAAGGGTGGCTTCCAAGGGACCGTCCACAAAGGGGTAACATGACTACTTTTAAAACACTGGAGGACAGCTAGTGCTGCCATTTAACTTTCTGGGAGATGTTTTAGTCTTGATTTACACAGGAGAGTGGAGTGGAAGTAGGTAGATTTGAAACCACAAGTGACCTACTTGCATATCTGTAGTGCAGGATGGCTTTAAGATAGTCATGTCTTAAAGATAGAACATGCTTGCAGAAGTGTGTAAAATACCAATGGCGTTTACATTCATACAAACTCTATACATATCACTATCAGTAGTTAACCTAGAGGAAAATGTATGTGTACTATATGTTAACATTTTTTATTATAAAAGTAAATTTTATTCAAAATTGGAGTAAGATTCTTTTAAGATAATCTTATAGCATTATTATGCTTCAATATTTTGATTGTTTTATAAATAGTTTAAATACTGCTCTTACACCATAAAATTAAGTATGTGTATTTTCATTTGCTAATTTTAATAACACACAGAAGAAAATGACTATAAAGCAGTATAGCTATACTAATTGATTGAAATATGGGAAAGTACAGTTTTTCGAGACAGGGTTTCTCTGTGGCTTTTTTGGAGTCTGTCCTGGAACTAGCTCTTGTAGACCAGACTGTCCTCAAACTTACAGAGATCTGCTTGCCTCTGCTTTCCAAGTGCTGGGATTAAAGATGTAAGCCACTACACCCAGCAAGAGTAATTTTTAAAATAGCAAATTCATTGTTCATGTACGTTTGTGTCTGTATGTGTCTGTGTGTGTGTAAGTTCACGCATGCACATGAGTGCATGTCTCTGTAGAGGCCAGAAGAAGGCATCAGATTCTCTGCAGCTGGAATTATAGGTGGTTGTTAACTACTTGATGTGAGTGTTGGGAACTAAACTTGAGTCCTCTGTAAGAGTAGTATGTGCTCTTGACTGCTGAGCTATCTTTCCAGCCCCAGGAATAAATTTTTAAGAGAAATTAACTTGTAAGCAATATTTGGACATTGAAGCTCAGTTTCCTTTAACAAAGGGTCTAAGCATTGTTGTTATTCTCAGGGAACCCTACAAATGACAGCTTAAATAATGACTATGTGACTTCCTTAATACTGACCTGTCCTGGAGCTAATAGTTTGGGTGGAGTCATGAGGGGAAACCATAATGTTACCCCATTTCCCTTAATGATGTTCCTGCTTGAAAGACAAAAATTATCTTGGGCAATTTTCTTCCTTCCCATATAGTATTTCTTCATTTTCACCTCATAGTTTTCTAAATGTTCTGCTTAACTTTTGTTGGTTTGGTTTTCTTATCTTTTACAGATATGTATAAAGTTAAACTCATTAGAATGCTAGTTCCTGAAAACATTGACACATACCTTATCCACATGGTAATTGAGATCCTGGAGAGTGGTGACAGCAGAAGCCAGCCTTCCTGTGATTCCAACAGGAAGAGAAGTTTCCCTAGCTCTGAAGGGAGCTGTGTGAGCTTTAAGAAAAGCAAGGATGTAGTCACTGATAGCAAGGTATTAACTACAGGTAGAATGTTTTTACAAAGTGTCACGTTGTTACTTCGCATGCTCAATGGAAACATTTTGATCTGTTACAATATTTAAATCTGTGTGTTCTATTCTCTTTGCTTTTCAAAATATGATGTGAGAAAGCTGTTTTCCAAAAGACAATAAAGCTTGTATAATTATTGTGTAGAATCCCAGCTTAAATTTTACCTGGCTTTGTAGTCAGGAGAAATACACCTCATTCCAGAGATGTAGTTAAGGGAGTTGGCGTTGTGTCTCATGACAGTGGATATGGTTTATGGAAGTAAAGGCAAATTCGATTATGAATGTTTCCCACTAGTTGATTCTCGAGCTCTATCTAGTATGAAGATTGTACTCTACAAGTTGACAGTGGTTATGAGTATAACATAGGGCATCTTTTGCGTATTTAGAAGAAGCATGTGTTCAGAGTTAATTTAGATGACATTAAAAGGCTTCAAAAGTGACATTTGTGCTATATGACAGATGGTAACAAGAGAAGAACTACTCTCTGGCAGGTTTGGCCTTCAGGGTCTACATGATGTGCTGATAGTAATTGCTGAGCTTTTAGTAACTCAGTGAAAGTATGTTAGCTCTTCCATGGCAAGCCTGGTGTGGTAGCGTGTAGCTGTTAACACTTGTATTAGAAGTGAGGTTCCATGTTTTAGCACTACAGTAATACCTGTAGGGTGCTGGCACTGTGCTCTTACTCTTCTCAATAGTGTCAAAATAAAGGGAACTGATTTTTTAAATTTTTATTCACTTTACATACCAACCACAGTTACCTCTCTCTCCCCTCCTCCCACTCTCCCCACCCCAACCCACTCCCTACCCTCTCCTCAGAAATGGTAAGGTCTCCCATGAGGAATCAACAAAGCCTGGTACGTTAAGTTGAGGTAGGACCAAACAAACCTCTTCCCCCTGTATCTAGGCTGAGCAAGGCATCCCACCTTAGGGAATGGACTCCAAAAAGCCAGCCCATGCACCAGGGATAGGGGAACTGATTTTTTTTTAAATAAACTGGTCTTTTAAATTTCTTTACTTTAAGCCGGGCGTTGGTGGCACATGTCTTTAATCCCAGCACTCGGGAGGCAGAGGCAGGTGGATCTCTGTGAGTTCGAGACCAGCCTGGTCGACAGAGCGGGTTCCAGGACAGGCTCCAAAACAACACAGAGAAACCCTGTCTCGAAAAAACAAAGCAAAACAAAAACAAAAAATCTTTACTATAGTTAGCTTTGTATATTTTCTTAAGTATACATAACATTAATACTTTAATGTTATGAAATTTCAAAATATAATTCCTTTTCCTAATTACTTTTCACCTTTTTTCCTTACCTGTGACTATTTTGAGCCCTTGTAAAGGTAGAAAACACAATAAAATATAGCAAGTAATTGATAAGGCTTATAAAGTCATCATTCTTGAAATGGTATAAGTTATACCTCAGGCACATTTAGCTTAAACAAAGCTACCTTATTCTAAAAGCCTTCAAATGCTTCCAGTAAGTAAGTTACTATGGCTAAATTCCAAGGAGTGTTCTTATTAGCATGATTTCTGGTTCTTACTCTGAGACTCCAGTGCCTCAGCTTCATACTCCTGTTTGACTGTTGTAGGTTTGCAGAGCACTTACCTACTTCAAGTAGTAATTGATGTTTGAGTTTTTCATGTGTGGATGATACCACACAAAACATTCCTTTTGTTTTATTAAATGTTTTCCAGGAACTTTTGACTGGGTCTTAAGGATTTTGATAGATGAGCCCCTCAAATCACATTCAAAGTGTCACTCATGTGGGCACTTGTTCTCTTTCTGAGAAAGGGATCTATGGCCATCAGGAAAGTCTTGAAGCAGTGAGTTTTTCATTTACTCAGTGAGTGCTTTGGAGTGCTTGTTGCTTCTTGGCCCCTCTGCAGGGAGCTGAGCAACAGTGGAGTCAACTCCTGGTCTTCTGCCGCCAGGGGTGTGTCAGTACCTGTTTTCTTTCCCATGTGCTCAATAAACCCTCTCTGTGTGCGCCTGTATATGTACCTTCCTCAGGACATCACGTTCGGCATCCTTTTAAATTTGTTACTGTTTGCGGTAAAAGCTCTTGGACCTGGGGCCTTGTGTGTACCAGATGAGTCTGATAACACCTAGATGTGTCCCCAGCCTTTAAATCCACCACTTTGGCCAACCCAAAACAAATGTCATACTGTGTAGACCAGAAATAATGTCCAGTCCCTTACTTAGCAAATGAGTGCCTGAACATGAGGATCTTGAGAGTCAATGGCGAAGGCAGTGGGATGGGTGTTCAGAGGTTAAAAGCTTTTGCCCGTGCAAGGTTGATGGTTGAGTTTGATTCCTAGAACCCATGTGAAAATGGCGTCTGTAATCCCAGCTCTCACACAGCGACAGGGAGGTGGAGCCTGGGAGATTGCAGGCTAGCTAGCATGGCGTGCACAACATGGCAGAAACAATAAGAGAGACTATGCTTCTAGGAAGAAGTGGCTGTTATGTATATGTAGCATGTACACACACACACACACACACACACAGCTAATCATAATAACAAATCATCTTTAAAGTGGATGGTAATGGGATTATAAGGAAATGTTTAAAGAAACGATATGATTTTTGTCTTTTATTTATTATATTTTTCATCCCCAAAAGGATTCTATAGATGTTTCTATTTCATTTTGTTTGGTCGAGGAGAGTTATTCAGGATGTCTGAGTTGTTTTTTACAGCTCTTATGCTTCTTCAGTTGTATGAGTGTTTCTTTGTATTTCTATCTCCTGTAGACATCATCTGAAATGTCAAAGAGAAAATTACCTGAGTGGTTTGCCAAAGGAAATGTGCCCGCAGCTGATATTGGCAGCTCATCAATGGCCAAGACAAAAAAGAAAGGTCTTTTTAGTTAAGATGACAACTGCAGAACAACTTGAGTGTCCTATTGTCTTTATCCCTGTAAGAATGAAAAGAAATATTGTAACTTTAAAATTCCTACAAGTCCAAAGTAAAACTCACTTCAGCACTGAGCACTGGCATCTTAAACGGCCCATCCGCGGTTGAGATAAGGCATTTGAATCGTCTGAGACCTGAGGACAAGCAGGAGTGTTAGTAGGACGGTTTTCCTTCAGAACTCTTGTCTCCTCTCACGTGGCAGTCTCTCTACTTCCTGTATCAGTGGACTTGGGAAATTAAGGGTGTGTCTCTTTGACATAGAGAACCGGCTAGCAGTTGTGTTCTGATTGATATGAAGCAGTCTCTAGTTGCCAAGATGGTGTCCTGTGAATGTAAGACAGCAGGTTAACTTTACAGATTGTCTTTACTTTCTTGTGCAGAAGCCGGTATGCGCAATGCCAGACAGTGTCAGTGCACCAGACCAGTAAGTGACACATTGGCTTTCATTAAGATGGGGAAAATGTTGAAAGTATTCCAGTTACAAAGGCAACTAAATGCTATGCATTTTCTATAAAATGTCTATTATTTTTTAAGTAAAGCAATGTGTTCCATACTGAATATTAAATACATTTAATTTTCATTTATCTATTTACTATGAGTACCTTCAATGTTTGAAAAGCCAAAATTTAATATATCTTATGTTTTACAAAGAACTTAAAAAATTTAAAACTCAGCTCTGTTCTGGGTATAGTTTTGTTATTACTTTAAGCAGCTCACCATATAGCTTATGAATATATTTTGAGCCTTTGATTAACGTTTTTGTAAATAGAAATGGACTGTAACTAATACAGAAGAAACACATGCTTGACTTCAGAGTAGTTGAAAAAAAAACAAAAAACAAAAAGGCTACCCAGGGTTCCATTAGGAAATAATCAAAGTGACTTTTTGTAACCTGCCAGAGTTTTATACAAGCATTTCTTAATTTGTTACACCTGTGATATGTGCGTGAATCTTATTATAAAACATTCAAACTATACTTAAAACATAAAAATTTACATGTTCTCATTTTTCTGCTTCCTATTAAAGAAGTATCTCCCATTAAATATGTCACAGACGTTCTCTAGTTACTTCTACTTTTCTGTGTCTTAACATGTGTTTCTACAACACACAAGTTGGTGTTCTCTATGGCTTTGAGCTTCATGCTGGATATAGTGACCAACTGTAGGAAAACACCTGCTTAATTGTTTGAATTACAAATTGGATAGGTTTTTTTATGGAATTGAAAAGCAAAAATTTGCTGGCAAAAATTATGCTTGGTTCTTTAGACCTGGTTATTTAGCAGACTTTCCCTCAAGACCAAATGAAGTTAGCCTATTGCTTTAAAGAAAGTGACTCACCAGTATTTATTGTCAGTAATAAAACTGAAATCTCTTGGTGAACTTGTATTCTTCACTGGGAACCTGGGCAGCTTTCCTTGACCTGAAAGCTTTTCTAATGAGCTGGACAAAATAAACACATGATTTTTTTATACTGTCTAAAGTTTTTTCTATATCTAGAATATCTAAATAACCCCAAAATCAGTGTTTTATGGATAACTAAGACATTACGTAATATAGAGATACATTGTTTAAAATACCTGATGGAGGCAGAAAAGGGACCAGTAAACTCAATTAACCAAGAATGAAAAGCTGATGGCTGTAGTTTCATACCAATAATCTTTAAGACACATCTACTGTTTTAGTATAGCTTCAAAGAAGATTCTCTACTGTTATTGAAAAGCTATTAAAATATCCTGTCCTATCCAACTGCATATTGGTGTGAATTTGGGTTTTCCTACTATACTTCAGGCAAAGTAGCATGTCCAGATAGGCTGAATGCAGAAGGCTGAGACCACAACCTGGTCTCCTAAACCCATTTACACAATGAGAACAATTACAGGAATGAAACAGAGCCATCCTTGTAAAGTTTTTATGAAAATATGTTTTTTAAAAACAGTATTTATGTTCAAATGTAAATGGTTTACTATGACTGTTTTTAAATGAATCAATAAATCTTTTGAAAAAGTCTCAGAGCTGAGTATATATATATCTGTGTAACTGCACATATACTGAGTAATTGCAGAAACCATGAGGGTGATGAAGACGGAGCCTGGGGGGGGGTAGAATGACACAGGTGCTTTGAAGGGAAATGGAAAAGCAAGGCAGGGACTTTAACTGCAGAGGGGAAAGGAAGAACAATGTGGAGGGAGAGGGAAGGAGGGGGCAAAGCTAACACTAGCGATGTTTGAAAAGCCATGGGGAAGCATCACTTCATGGTATTTAAAAATGCTTCTATGTATAATTGGCTGTGGTTTGGTTTCTTCAGTCAGGGTCTCAGTGTAGCCTTGTTTGGCTCGGAGATCACTATGTAGAACAGGCAGGCCTGAGGGCCCGCCGACCCCCCCCGTGTGTGTGTGTGTGTGTGTGTGTGTGTGTGTGTGTGTGTGTCTTAAATGAAGTTATGCTACCTCGGGTGATAATGCTCCTCTCAGGAACAGTAGACTACTAACAAAATCCCCAGTTCTAAGCATGAGAAACCTCCCTTCAAGCTGTTGGTCAGAGAAGTCCAAGAGACTCCCCAAACAATATAGGCTATTGCCTTCACCCTTGGTTGCCCTTGGGATCTTGAAGGTAAGAGCCTGTTGCTGAAGACACCACATACTTCGGGCACAGGATTTGGAGAAACCCCACTGGAAATGACATGGAAGCCCCTCTCTGAGGGCCAGCTCTCCCAGTGCTGGAATGTGCCATGCAAACTACCAAGAAAGAAAGGCAATCGGCAGTCCTGCCCAGTACACTAAAGTTTGTGGCTCCCATCACAACACTAAAGCTGTAACTTCATCCCAGACACCAGACACTGCCACAACAAAACAAAATCTTGACTCATTTATTTAACATCTTAGTGCACGGCAGTCTCTCCTAGCTGTTCCAATTTCCCAAACAGTACATCCCAGAAGTTGTGCTCAATGTGTTTTTGTAAGATGTCCCACTAGAATATATATTCAATGGGAGGAGGGGGAATTTTTGTCTGTATTGTCCACAGCTGTGTCTGCCACCCAGAAAAGAGTAGCACTGGGCAGGAAGCCAGAAAATGTTGAATGAGTGCAGTACCCACGTGCTACAGGATCTAGCCAGAGCTGTTGCAGCTGGGGAAGGCATATGGGCGCTTAGTCATCGCTACAGTTCTATCTAGTCATAGGTCTTACTTCTGTTGAGCTATCTGGGTGGGTTACATCTGGTCTCAAACACACAGACCACAAAAGCTTCTGCTTATAACCCTAGCCATCAGCAACACATACTATAAAGTCCATAGCCCTGCTATTTATTAGCTAGGCGATCTCTTAGAAACTCCAAGCTTCATTGAAATACACTGTAATGCTTACAGCAATTACTGGGACTAGATACAACGTGTACAGGTAGACTGTTCAACAGTAGTCAGATTGTTGTGGAATATTATTTTAAGATGTGTTACATTTGTTTATGCTGTGAAACATCTGTTTAACGATGCAAAGATGTGTTGCATTTGTTTGATTAAATAAAATTAACCTGGGGTCAGGAGGTTAAGTCAGCAACTAGCTGACAGGAAGTGGTAGGGAGGAGCCATGTGTAACTAGGATTCCTAAGTGGGGGCGGAGCCGAAGGACACCTTGTTTTTCCGGAAGAGGTGAGCTAGGAGAGGAAGGAGGTGAGTTACTCGCTCTTCAGTCTCCTCTGAGTGAGCAGAATTTCACCTCAACCTGAATCCTGAGTTCTCTAGAGGGATGGAGATCTAGATAAAGTTCGCTTTAGCAGCTGTGATAGAGCTGATACCTGAGGGGACAGAATTGTGACCTATGTGGCCTAGCCACTACAGTAGCTGAGGGGACAGAATTGTGACCTATGTGGCCTAGCCACTACAGTAGCTGAGGGGACAGAATTGTGGCCTATGTGGCCTAGCCACTACAGTAGCTGAGGGGACAGAATTGTGGCCTATGTGGCCTAGCCACTACAGTAGCTGAGGGGACAGAATTGTGGCCTATGTGGCCTAGCCACTACAGTAGCTGAGGGGACAGAATTGTGGCCTATGTGGCCTAGCCACTACAGTAGCTGAGGGGACAGAATTGTGGCCTATGTGGCCTAGCCACTACAGTAGCTGAGGGGACAGAATTGTGGCCTATGTGGCCTAGCCACTACAGTAGCTGAGGGGACAGAATTGTGGCCTATGTGGCCTAGCCACTACAGTAGCTGAGGGGACAGAATTGTGGCCTATGTGGCCTAGCCACTACAGTAGCTGAGGGGACAGAATTGTGGCCTATGTGGCCTAGCCACTACAGTAGCTGAGGGGACAGAATTGTGGCCTATGTGGCCTAGCCACTACAGTAGCTGAGGGGACAGAATTGTGACCTATGTGGCCTAGCCACTACAGTAGCTGAGGGGACAGAATTGTGACCTATGTGGCCTAGCCACTACAGTAGCTGAGGGGACAGAATTGTGGCCTATGTGGCCTAGCCACTACAGTAGCTGAGGGGACAGAATTGTGGCCTATGTGGCCTAGCCACTACAGTAGCTGAGGGGACAGAATTGTGACCTATGTGGCCTAGCCACTACAGTAGCTGAGGGGACAGAATTGTGACCTATGTGGCCTAGCCACTACAGTAGCTGAGGGGACAGAATTGTGGCCTATGTGGCCTAGCCACTACAGTAGCTGAGGGGACAGAATTGTGACCTATGTGGCCTAGCCACTACAGTAGCTGAGGGGACAGAATTGTGACCTATGTGGCCTAGCCACTACAGTAGCTGAGGGGACAGAATTGTGACCTATGTGGCCTAGCCACTACAGTAGCTGAGGGGACAGAATTGTGGCCTATGTGGCCTAGCCACTACAGTAGCTGAGGGGACAGAATTGTGGCCTATGTGGCCTAGCCACTACAGTAGCTGAGGGGACAGAATTGTGGCCTATGTGGCCTAGCCACTACAGTAGCTGAGGGGACAGAATTGTGGCCTATGTGGCCTAGCCACTACAGTAGCTGAGGGGACAGAATTGTGGCCTATGTGGCCTAGCCACTACAGTAGCTGAGGGGACAGAATTGTGGCCTATGTGGCCTAGCCACTACAGTAGCTGAGGGGACAGAATTGTGGCCTATGTGGCCTAGCCACTACAGTAGCTGAGGGGACAGAATTGTGGCCTATGTGGCCTAGCCACTACAGTAGCTGAGGGGACAGAATTGTGACCTATGTGGCCTAGCCACTACAGTAGCTGAGGGGACAGAATTGTGACCTATGTGGCCTAGCCACTACAGTAGCTGAGGGGACAGAATTGTGACCTATGTGGCCTAGCCACTACAGTAGCTGCTTGCTGAGTCGCAGTTGCAGTTGCCAGTTAGGACAGCAGTTGCTTAAGGGGCAGTCACTGAATTGGGTGAAAAACAACATCAGATCTGGGCAGAGTGGACCATGCATGTAATACCTGCACTTGGGAGGTGGATGAGGAGGACCAGACTGCAGTGAGACCCCTGTCTCAAACAGATAATCAAGTAATTTGGCCCTATTGCAGTTGTTTACTCCCTTGTAACTGTAAGAGCATCTATCAGAAAAGACAGTATCTGGGTATCCAGAGTAAGGCAGCCTGTCTCACAGACACTATTTGGACATCACCATGGTCCTGCTCCTGTCTCTTACTGTGCTCTTCCAGAAATCTGTGCCAGCAGCTTGAAGTAGACTCTTGTTTCAAGGCAGGCTCTGGCTCTTAGTTGATTTAACACATTTATCGAGTATCTACTGTGTGCAGAGCATAGTTCTGGAGTGAGGGTCACAGTAGTGACCAAAGGACAAGTATTATGGTTCCCCTTAGGGTAAGAAGGAGGAATGGAATGGGTAAGAGTGGAGTTCACACTGGGGTATGGCGAGACCCTACCAAGCTGTGACTTGTGACTCCGGCCTTGAGCACATCGGTCCATCATAACCCTCTCTTGTTAAAGTCACTGTATAAAAGAGGAAACAGGTTTGGAGAACACAGTGTGCTTGTGCATAGTGAACAGTAGCCACTGTCACCCTTTCTGTAGGAAAGCTGCAGGAAAAAACAATCAGGAGGGCGCCTAATGGCTTGATGTATGTAAATGGGTCAGTTAGACAGTTTTCAGGATACTCAGCTAGATTTCTCAGTGTAGCAAAATAATGCTTTTTGTTTAACAGAAAAATACAGAGGGGTGGACATTGTAGAAGGAGTTTTCAAAATAATTAGAGTAATCTGTTATATTTTTCATGAACTACTCTGGTTCATGAAATGGATATCCATGGAATCTCAGTCTGAAATATACTTTACTTTTAATTCTCCTATGACTTATCATAGATTATTATGGGCATTTCAACTAAGACAGCATGTTGACTAAGACACAAGGAAACTTCGCTTCAAGAGGAGAAAGTCTTGAACAGCCCCCCAATGTTCCTTGTTTTGGTGGGAGTAATTTGCTATTTTCATGACTCATTTGAGTTTTATACTATTTTAAGCATTCTTGAAGAATGTGTGAGCCCCTGTTATTTTATGTTATTCATTTGCTTTGGCATTTTTTCCCCTCACACTGGCAAAACGAGCTAGTGTTTTACCACACTGGTTCAAGACCACCATCTGCTGGTCAAAATGGGCAATTTCAGGTATTATGGTTTGTAGGAAAAGGGGAACCATTTGGGGTTTTTATTTGCAAATGGACACCACAGGTGTAACGTCTGAAGTGAGTGCTCAGATAAAAGTGAGGTGAAATGTAATGAGTTAATCTTGGGAGTAAAACTGTATATAATTGTAGATATGAAACAGAAAAATACTAGTCAGATGACTAGTATATTTACTTGGATATATTTTACTAGAGTAAAGCAGAAGAAAATGCAGAAATTTTTAGAATTTGTGAATTTTGGAAGCTTCTAGACAAACACTGACTCAAATGGAGCATGCAATTGACATGCCTATGGAGCTTTGAATACGCAACCTCAAAAATAAGTAAAGGGGAATTGTGTCCCAAGTCCCCACATAATGCATTAAATGATGCACTCTTCATTTT